GTTCCTTGTCCCTCTCAGCGAAGGCATCTGTCTCGTATTTTCCAGGAAGCCAGGTATTACTAAGTGTGATTTCTGTTTGGCTGAGAAATGAGTATAGCAAATCTCACTGTGCTGCATTCCTCCCCTCTCTTCCTGTTCTTTAAACAGGTCTTCTGTACATCCCCTGAAACTGTTTTGCCCTCTCTCACCTCAGGATCTTTGCTCACGCTGTTGCCACAGTCTTCACCCCAGTAACTCTTCCTTGTACCTGAGATCTCACCTGAACATTGTTTCCTAAATCCTTCTGTGGGATTCCCTATTGTGATGTTGTTCACATACGTGGTTTTTGTGAATATGGAAGACAAAGTGCACTCAAATACTGTGAGTGTAATTAGTGAATTAAATCTCCCCACGGGTCTGTTTCCTTCGAAGTAAAAGCCTTAGACGCTGTGTCCTTCAGTTTCATGCATGGATGTCTGGGCATGTCTTCCTGTCCCTTACAGACCATCGTGGTAGGTTGGAGAGGGTGGCCAGGACTGCCTGAGGTAGAAAAAGCAATCCTGGTCACCCCCTCGACTATCAGTTTGGGCTCCTGCCCCTGGCCACCCACCCAGCATGCTTACTTGGGACCGAGGGGGTGTTGCTCTGTAACGCATTAAAGATGACTTCGGAAAAGGAGCTCATGGCCTTTCCTCCTTACTGGGTTTAGATTATGTCACAATCGCGATCTTTCCACGGTATCACAAAGTACTTCTTCAGTCTTCACAAGTCATTCAAGAAGCACGTCTTGTGGTTTGTATTAGAGTTTGGGGTCCCTGAGTTGATTTGTCCCGACAAGGTTGCCTTGCGGGGGGGGGGGTGCGCACATGTGCGTAGTCTGTTTCCAATGACTCTTCCTGCAGCAGGCCTGGGGCCACACGTGGTGTACCACGGTGTGGATTCCATGTCATCTTTTCTGTGATAGAGGATTCTCTGAGTGATGTCCGTGAGTGCTGATTGATTTTCACTGAGCCCTTTTACCTTTTTCAGTCCCTTCCTTTTGTGATTTATGGCAAGTAGTTTTAAGACTGCCAACAGTTAGGGCGCCTGGGTGGCTCAGATGGTTGAGTGTCTGCCTTCGGCTCGGGTCATGATCCCAGGGTCCTGGGATCGAGTCCCGCATCGGGCTCCCTGCTCCTTGGGAGCCTGCTTCTCCCTCTGTCTGTCTCTCTCTCTCTCTCTCTGTCTCTCATGAATAAATAAATAAAATCTTAAAAAAAAAAAAAAAAGACTGCCAACAGTTTGGTTTCTCTGTAGGTACCTGGAAATGCCCGTATTGCCATGCTGTGGGGTGAAAGCACTGACCGGTGTCAGGGAGCTGCAGGCAGGTATTACTGCGTGTCTCCTCCAGGTAGGGGTCAGTAGAGTTGAGGGACCTGGCCAGCTCCCTTTGTTCACAGGTGGCACAACTGGGACCCATCCCAGCTGGTTTTCCTCCTTCATCCTCCTTCCTTGTTCTGGTGCAGAGCCAAGTAGCTTCTCTAGCTTAATAGTCACACCTTTCCTGTAAGTTTGTGATTTTAAGCCAGATTTCCCTTCAGTATGGAGGTTCTTTACATTCTCCCAAACAACCAGTTCTGGTTGGGACATAAGTTCGATCTTTGGGGTGGAGCCATGAAGGGTGAGGTGGAAAGGCGTTGGCCAGCAATCCCGTTGGCTGCCATGATTTGTGATGTTGCTTTCCTTTTTGAAATATTAAATGTTTCACATTTAATGTGCTTTATAGCCTATCTGGAATGGCAAGTTTCTTCCCAGGACTGGTAAACATAAAGCTACTGTGAGCTTTGGGCACGTGTCCAGGTCTTTCCAGAAAACCTCTCTTCCTGGCATGCTGATAACCACCCTGCTGATACGAGGGCAGGTGTCTGCCTCGTGTTGTGCTGTTTGTGTGTTTCCTTCCCTTCTTCTCTTCCTTCTTCCTCCCCCGCTTCATTCCTCTTTTCTGTGAAATTGCTTTTTCCAGCCAAGTCAGTGTCTGGGTCTATAGTAAACTTTCGAAGTCCTCTTAGGCTAAGCTGTGGGGAGGGCACTGTCACAAAGGGTAGAAGGAATAGATTACCAGAGCTAGTTAAAAACATCAGACTGAGGAGGACGAAATGTGCACCTAAAGGCAAGTCGAATCTGGACTCAAGTCCCTCTTCAGAACTCCCCTATCCCTTCCAGGCTGCAACTTCCATGAGAATAAGCTCTAAATAATGTGTCCCATAGAAATGCATAAGTACTCAGAGATGTAAACAAGGATACATATTTTGTAATTGTTTGTGATTGTGAGAACATGAAAATAACTTGAATATTTGCACACTAGTAGAAGAATGCTTACATTAACGATGGTGTGTCCATGCAGTGGAATAGTATATGTAACACTGGGAAACAGTAAGTTAGATCTCCAATGGAGAGGTGTCGGTTTCATACTATTCAGTGGGGGAAAAAAAATCCATGTTGGCTTATATATACATAGCATATTTATTTAAGTATATGTACATATCTATTGAAAAGTCTAGAAGGATATACTCCAAACTGCTGATAGGTAATCATGGAAATGGGATTAGAATGAAGAGGACATAGGTATTTTGCTGTTTTAGTTTGTATACATTTGTAATATTTACTTTTTTGCAATAAAGAATCAGCTTTGTAATTTTAAAACTAACAATTATGGGAGGCCAATAAGGCAATGATATATTAATATCTTTTCCTATCTGTCTTTTACCTGTGATTCTGGATTTCTGCCTCGGTTTTCTTTCAAGTCATGAAACTGAGGAGTCACTAGGGCCATTGCGTTGCTGGTCTTGTTGTTAGGTGGAAGCTCTTTTTACTTTTATTGACTGATGTGCATTATCATCCGTCCATGACTGTTCTTCCATCAGTATCATTGGAAGAGTATCTTCTCACTGAAGTATTAAATATTAAATGAGTAGTTCTACTCATGAAATCAATTCACCCTTCTTTTGAGAAGGACAAAAGTGTATGTAAGAATCAATGTGACAGAGGCAAATGTCAGGTTTTCCTACCTTCCAGGTTATGAACCCACCTGTGTGCCTAACCTTGTTCTGGGCTCAGTGCTTGTTAGCCAAGAAGAGAAAGAATTCATAGGAAAAAAGTCCCATTCCTTAGAAAAATGACATATCAGAATGCCACTTCATTTTCTTCTTTAATTCATGATATTTGTTTTTTGTGAAGAAAGGAGAAATAATGAATGCTTTGTGTGGGCTGTCAGAAAGTAGAAGTCCATCAATTTTGGCGGGGGTGAGGGTTTCACCATATGAATGGCGGGGGGACACAGGCATATCCATGGAACAGATGAAGCAACGGCAAACCAAGGATCACAGGTCCACTGACTAGAAGCCTGTTCATTTCACTTAGGTTTTCATTTAATCCCAGAGCTCATATTAATTTCTTCGAACTTTTTAGAAGGAAGGGAAACTTTTGCTTGGCTTTTTATTTAATTTATTTAATCTGTACTAAAGATTTAGAGCATATTTTAATCATTTCTGTGGCTTTAAATTCCAGCATTTATTTGATGGCTTTATGTCACCTACTTCCGACGTAAGCATATAAATATTATAGTTCCAGACACCTTCATGTCCTCATTGGTAAAGCAACAATATCCATAGCAGTGAAAACAGTAAATTTATTTTTCTTTTGTTTGCACTCTACTTCCAGAAGTTAAGCCTTGAATTGGCTTTAGTTGTACGTATGCCTGGATCGTAGTCTTGCTCCGTGGTAGGAAATTGGGACGTGTAGAATTTAGACATGCCTGTGAAAGCCCAGCCTGCAGGTCCACATCGATGGATAATATTACCTTGTGGTCTCTTTATAGTTTGTTAACTAAGTAAACAATTTGTTTGAAGTATACTTAAATGATCATTTCTAAAGGTGCTAACATATTTTTTTGTCAGCTGAAAAATTTTGGTCAGTGGGGTCTTCAGCTAATACGAAGTGTCCCATCACTGTCACTAACATGTGGGTTAATTTATAGCCCCCACCACCTGCAGCCAGCATCAGTGCATTTGCCTTAGCCATGGGGGTGGCTGGTCAGTAAAGAGGCAAAGTACTGTCCTTCCTGGCAGACACGGCCCAGCACGTCCTCTTTGAAGATGAAGCGTAGAATCACAGCACTCGAGACTTTTTATCCTTTTTGCCAGTCAGCTGTTGGTTCCCCTGGATGAGGGGCTGCCCCTCACCTAAAGACAGCACAGTCGTGTTATTAGTAGCGTGGAGGGGGGGGTGGTGGCCGTGGCTCCTCGTACCCCGGCCCCTGTCTCACCTGACACAGACCCTGCTGAGCCATCGGAGGGAATCCCCTTCACCGGGGCTTTGCATCTCCATGTTTTCTCCCTTACCTTTCAAAGACCTACTTCTCTAAGAGGTGCTGTTTCTCCCACAGATTCTCCTCTTGTAATTCGAGAAGCAGAAGGATAATTGGGGGAGGACGTTTTTTTGGCACTTAGGCTGAACCCCTGGGAATCTTTGTAAAATTAAATCAGTGCTTTTATCTTTTCCCAACATAGGTACTTCCTGTCCAGTAGACCGATTTCGGGCCCACTGTCAGTGATTTTCTAAAATGTCGGTCCAGTTGATTTTGTGGTCTCTGACTTGAGTGAAGCCAGAATTGGAAACCCATAATCTCACTGTCACAGATTGCTTTGAAGTTGCTTCGGGACTCACTAAATCTTCTTCCACATGCCTTTTTTTTTTTTTTTTCCCCTGTGCGGGTTTTTCCAAAGTTGATAAGTTGATGGTCCTTTGTCTTTTTGGAACTTATCAGTCTCTCCCGTGCTATACAGCCACCACTTAAAACAATAAAAATGTAACCAGCTTGTTTTCTAGCACTTTAACTTCGCTGACATTGCCAGGAATTTGGGATGAATTCTCTGTTGACCCCAAGTCCCGTGGAGTGTTTTGGGTGAGGCCATGGTGTCCAGGCCCTGTTTTGAGTCCCCACAGCCGGTTGGGTGCAGTGACTCTCCCTTTCTATTTCTCAGTGCCATCGCCTCCATCCTGAGGGCCTGGCTTGACCAGTGTGCAGAGGACTTCCGGGAGCCCCCTCACTTCCCTTGCTTACAGAAACTGCTGGATTATCTCAAACGGATGATGCCAGGCTCTGATCCAGAGAGAAGGGCACAAAATCTTCTTGAGCAGTTTCACAAGCAAGAAGTGGAAACTGACAGTGAGTACTTGCTTGGTTCCAGAGAACAAGCTAGATTCTGATTCTGCAGGCTCCATGTTGAAGATAGGTTCTCCCTATACTTCTTCTTTTCTTAAGATTTATTTAATTGTTAGAGAGGGAGAGAGAGAGAGTGCAGGAGGGAAGGGGAGAGGGAGAGAGAATCTCAAGCAGACTCCTCACTGAGCGCGCAGCCTGACGTGGGGCTCAATTTCATGACCCTGAGATCATGACCTGAGCCAAAACCAAGAGTCAGAGGTTTAACCAACTGAGCCACCCAGCCGCCCCAAACTGTTCTCCCTATACTTGATGAATGACCTCGGTTTGTCTCAGAGAGCCAAGCTGCTAGGGGATTGGTGGTGGATAAAAATTCTAAAGTTTATCAAAGTGCTAATTACAGAGCCTCAGCCTTCTAGAGCCAAGGAGATTTTTAAGACCACCTAGTCTGGTGCTCTCACTTTATAGAAGAGGAAACTGACTCTGAGAAGCGAAGTGATTTCCTTGAGTTTCTTCTAATACCATAAAGAGGATCTTTTACCTTCTCTTGTCAACATGTCCCACGCTGAACTTGATTTTGCTTTTTATTATCTGTCTCCTGGCTCCTCTATCTAATGAATGGAAACCCCTCACAACCACCCCCATTCAGCAGGCAAAGAATTAAATCCAGTTGTGCTCCTGCCCTCAGAAAAGTTCAAAAAGCCCTGAAAAGGTGTTTCTCTGTCAAGCTGGAAGACATTACTGTCACTGAGCTCGCCAGTGGCCTTGTCTTGTCAGAGGAAGTTTCTGTGGCTGTTTTTTCCTATTGGAGGAACTGACTGCCTGTTTTCAAGGACAAAGGAAGGGCCACCACTGCAGGTCGTGGGCCGCTTGAAATTATCTTTGAAGAAAGTCAGAGTGAGCTTAGGACAGGCTTTCAGCCTGACGATTTATCCCCTCGCTGGCTTGCTGGCTGATGGTTGCCATGGCGGCTGACCCACTTGGAGCTTTTGACAGGCATTTCCCTGAAGTGACGCCCGATTTCCTCAGTGAGGGAAAGGAAGCGGTTCCTCACGACCGATAAGGGAAGCTGCATCAGTGCCAAAGAAAATAACCTTACATTCCAAACAGTACCTGTGGAATTGTTTTACGTTTGGGGGATCAGAGCCGGGGGAACATGCAATCGCATCCTGAGAAGCCGACTGCCAAGTACTCTGTATCTCAGATGACTTCATCTGCCGGGAATGTTGGAATACCAAGGGCACTCCTCCAGCTGCCGGACCTCCACTCCCTTCAGGGCCTCCCCGCCTGTCTCTGAGCCGGAGTGGAAAATGCTGTGTGAGAGCCCAGCTCTCCCCACTGGGGCTGCCCCTGGCTCCGGGCCTAATTGGGGAACCGGTGGGACCAGTCGTTCATTGTTTCCGACCCAGCGACTGGAAGGCAGAGCTCATTTGGCAGGCTGAGGCAGGGGAGAGGGAGATTGCCTGACTTTGGAAAGGCTTTTAGGCAATGCTCGAAAATAGATTTTTCCTGAGTTTGGAAAATTTTAATCAAGAAAGCTCTAAACTCTCTGTTTATGAAGTCCAGGGGTCGTTATTGAAAAAGGACTTTTAGGAGCTTGGTTCTCATGGGCGTGTTTTGCCCAATTTCATGCTGGCAAAAGCAAAAGTTCACCTACATTGTTTTCCAATAGTAAAATTTTGCTTCGAGTTTTTACTTCCCTTACCTCTGGAAGGGAGCCAAAAGCAGAAACAGTGAAGGCATGGCTTAGGCCCCGGAGAGACAGGACCACGTAATCTTCACCCACAGCAACATCCCGGGCACATATGGGTCACTGTGAGTGTTTGTTGGCTGAGTGAGAGGATCTGACCTTACCACACATCCTCTTTGGCTGAAGTGGGTCAGCCTCTGCATTCCAGAGCTGCTGGGATAGATTGACATAGTAGCTAACAAGAGGGATGGGAGGCCCATTCTGGAGCTTTGTTTGGGATTTCAAATTTCTTCATCCTCCACTGAATTGAAGAGTACCCCCAGAGTTGCTTGGAGGCAGAGTGGTGAAGTCATAGGGTTTTAGCTCTCCTGAGCTCGTGCCTGTTTGTGTTTCAGACTCCAGAGACAGGCAGTGATTCCTCCTACCTCCTCCAGTCGTAACCCAAGCCCATTAGCATCAGCATCTTCAGCTTGCCTGTGGTAGGGAGGGGATTGTTGTGGGGGGGCACCCTTAAATCCCATGCCTAACCCCAGAGTTGGCAAGTCCCCGCGTGGTGCTCTGATAGGGGGAGTGATGTAATGTCCACTCTCAGCACCCCTTTCCCCTGGGAAACCAAGAAGAAGAAAAGGCCACCCCCAACTTGACCCAAGATGCGTAAAAGTCTTCTTCTACAAAGAAAAAGAGAAAAAGCTTAAACTGTAAATATCCTGCGGGAGTAGTAACACACTGATTTACATTTCTGCCAAGATAAGATATAACTGAATGCAGCTAGATTTTTTTTTAATTTTATTTTATTATGTTATGTTAGTCACCATACAATACATCATTAGTTTTTGATGTAGTGATCCATGATTCATTGTTTTCGTATAACACCCAGTGCTCCATGCAGAATGTGCCCTCCTTAATACCCATCACCAGGCTAACCCATCCTCCTACCCCCCTCCCCTCTAAAACCCTCAGTTTGTTTCTCAGAGTCCGTAGTCTCTCATGGTTCATCTCCCCCTCCGATTTTCCCCCCTTCATTTTTCCCTTCCTTCTCCTAATGTCCTCCATGCTATTCCTTATGTTCCACAAATAAGTGAAACCATATGGTAATTGAGAGCCCAGATATGGACCCTCAACTCTATGGTCAAATAATCTTTGACAAAGCAGGAAAAAATATGCAATGGAAAAAAGACAGTCTCTTCAATAAATGGTGCTGGGAGAATCGGACAGCTATATACAGAAGAATAAAACTCGACCACTCTCTAACACTATACACAAAGATAAACTCAAAATGGATGAAAGACCTCAATGTGAGACAGGAATCCATCAAAATCCTAGAGGAGAACATAGGCAGTAACCTCTTTGACGTTGGCCACAGCAACTTCTTTCAAGATACATCTCCAGAGGCTAGGGAAACAAAAGCAAAAATGAACTTTTGTGACTTCATCAAGATAAGAAGCTTCTGCACAGCAAAGGAAACAGTTAATAAAACAAAGAGGCAACCCACAGAATGGGAGAAGATATTTGCAAATAACACTACAAACAAAGCACTGCTTTCCAAGATCTATAAAGAACTTCTCAAACTCAACACCCAAAACATAATCAAGTCAAAAAATGGGCAGAAGACATGAAGAGACACTCTCAAAAGAAAACATACAAGTGGCTGACAGACACATGAAAAAGTGTTCATCATCATTAGCCATCAGGGAAATTCAAATCAAAACCACATTGAGATACCTTGCACCAGTTAGAATAGCAAAAATTGACAAGGCAAGAAACAACAAATTTTGGAGAGGTTGTGGAGAAAGGGGAACCCTCTTACACTGTTAGTGGGAATGCAAGTTGGTACAGCCACTTTGGAAAACAGTGTGGAGGTTCCTCAAAAAATTAAAAATAGAGCTACCCTATGACCCAGCAACTGCACTACTGGGTATTTACCCCAAAGACACAGATGTAGTGAAAAGAAGGGTCATATGCACCCCAATGTTCATAGCAGCAATGTCTGCAATAGCCAAACTGTGGAAAGAGCCGAGATGCCCTTCAACAGACGAATGGATAAAGAAGATGTGGTCCATATATACCATGGAATATTACTCAGCCATCAGAAAGGACGAATACCCAACTTTTACATCAACATGGATGGGACTGGAGGAGATTATGCTAAGTGAAATAAGTCATGCAGCTGGGTTTTTTGTTTTTGTCTTTTTGAGAACAGATTTGACAGGAGAGCAAGGAGTGTGAGGGGGATGAGGTGGGCGATGAGGTTGGAAAACAACCCAGGTATCAGGAAAGGTTCCAGGGAAGGGAGGCTGGGGTTCAAGTTCGACTTCATCCAGTTAAACAGTCTTTCAGAATGGAGTCTGGAGTTCCTAGTCCATGGGCTGAGTCCTTCAGCTTTTGATTTGGAATCCAAGTAGTTATTATAGTGATTTTTTTTCTCACTTCTTCAGTCTGTGTCCTGTGTAATTGGCTAATTGAGGACCTTATCTATAATAAGGCTCAGGTGAATTTAGTTTCAGGCTGTTCTGCTTCACACATAACTTTAGGTGGGAAACTGAAAGCTACTCCAAACATCTTGAGAATTCTAAGAACTGTCTTAGAATTCTGAGGACTTCATCAGCATTTCTGACACCGACATGGCCCATTCTACTCCCCAAAGCCTGGCCTGCTTTTATGCCCAGTCTTTCCAGGCTTCTGGTTATAATTGGCCAATAATTATGAATTGCATAGTTGGGGCTTAGGAAGTGGCTTGATGAGTCCTTAAGCTGAGCAGAGAGTATGAGAGAGCCCAAGATGAGGGAAACCCCCAGAATGTAGCCCAACTTTGCTTCTCTAGACTTTGCCTCATCTGGTTGTGTCCCTGGCCTAAGAATCTGGCTTATCAAAGGGATAACATGAGGCCTCTGAACTTAATAAAGAACCTACAGAGATTAAGCAGACCTCCATTTCACTCAGATTCATTGTGCTTAGCATTTCTCCCTGTGGGTTTTCTGAAGGATTAGCCCTCTTCTTTCTAAATGAAGGAAGTGCAGTTTAACTCTACTAACAAGATCATAAACAGTGGCACCAAAATGCTATTTTTTTTTCCATCTGTGAACAGATGGGTTTCCTAGCACCATCTTCTTCAGCCTGGAAGAGGAAGAGGAACTGGAAGGTGGAGGGCCTGCAGAATTCACGTGCTTCCCAGAGGATCTCGTGGCAGAGCAGCTGACCTATATGGATGCAGTAGGTCTTCTCTCTGTGCCCCAGATGGGCTTCCACTTAAAATGTGGGGACTGACAGTACTGGTGGCCTGGGGAGGCCAGTGGGGGTATGTGATTTAAGTCTTTTGTGATCCTTGAGAGAGGCCGTGCCTATAAATGCAGAATGAAGATGTGACTTGAATCAATCATCTGAATAATTCAGGCCTAAGCTCTTCTTGCAATTCTGGGTGAAGGTGCTTTTTCCTTGGCACTCCATACGCAGAGGGAAATAAGAATTCTAATTCTCATGAAACAAAATCCACCCTGTTCCATGGGTATTTCTCTCCCTGCAGACTCATAAATATTTCAAGATCTGAACTGTTTATTCGGAAGGTTGTAAAGCGGTCAAAGTATAAATTAGGATAAAATAAGTTCACTGAATCCACATGTGACTCTGGCAGTTCATGTCTATGTGTGTTTCCTGTACTTTTGAATATGTTTGTTAGCCATGCATAGTTGACAACATTGGTCACGTGTCTTAGTGCAATGTTAGCTGGTAAATACCAGTTAAAGAAAAGAGGGCTATTATAAATTATCATGATGGTTTTAGCTCTTCTGCACTTACCACTTTGAGGAAAGCAGCATAGAAAGTGACAGAGTTTCCATCTAGGGAGCATGCAAATAAATTATCAGAAGCAAATCAGAGAGTCTATGTAAAGTAAATCCTGATGTTCTCTTTCATACAAACCCTTGTATTGAATTGTCATACAGATGAGAATCAGATTTGGTCAGCGAATTTGCTTTGATTTTGTTCCACAATTGACAGCATCAAAGAAAGATAGGAAACCTCATTGGTGATGACTTTCAGGCAAAGACCTGGAAACCAGGCTGTAACTTCCTTTCTTCCTTTTACTCTGTGACGTTGAATGGTATTGCCTTTTATATGCTTACTTTCTTCATTTTAGAAATCCTGTAGAACACATTGATGATAATGCCACATGCCCTGTCCTTCTTTGGATCACCTGTCAGGTGGTCACTGGGCATCCATATGCATTGTACTCAATTCATGATCGTGAGTGCCCAGAACATACCCTCGATATGATTCTGAGGTCAAAACCCTCTTGACCACTGTATAGATTTGTACCCGTCGTTCGAGATAGAAAAGTCAAAATGTGGTCGGTCATTTAAAATTTTCTTTTGGTCAAAAAAAATAAAATAAAATTTTCTTTTGGTCATTGTGGTTCCGTTTGTGCAGTCGAGCAGATTTAGAAGGAAAATGTGGGCTTTTCTGACCAGTTAACATATTAATTATTTACTTTTGTCCATTGAAATAGACACGATGAGGCAAGTCAAGTAGAAAAGGGTTGTTTGTCCATTTACAAAATACTAATTCACAGATGACCCAGATGATGTGCTTTGCCATATGAAATGTCTGTGTCCTGAAAGTCCGTTTCTCTTTTGTTCTAGCAACTATTCAAGAAAGTAGTGCCTCACCACTGCCTGGGCTGCATTTGGTCTCGAAGGGATAAGAAGGAAAACAAACATTTGGCTCCTACGATCCGTGCTACCATCTCTCAGTTTAACACGCTCACCAAATGCGTTGTCAGTACCATCCTGGGGGGCAAAGAACTCAAAACTCAGCAGAGAGCCAAAGTCATTGAGAAGTGGATTAACATTGCTCATGTAATTGTCTTTTTAAAAATATTCTTTGTATTTAGTAGATATTGGAGACTACTCCCATCTCTCTGTTTAAAGGGTTCTATGCGTTTTGCAAGGCAATCAAACGACCATATGTGAGGGACCATTGGGTTTTTGTTGCTGTTATTGTTGTTCCTCCAAAGTAAGAAGAAAAATTGCCTTTTTAACTTAGCAACTTATTTTTGCTCTTTAAAGAAAGTTGGTCCCTTGCACACTTCTTTCTGCTCATGGGCCTGCACACTGCTATGTCTCCAGGGTAGGACATCCATCTGCTTTTCCCCTTATTTTCACAAACTGAGTCAGTTCTGCCCATGTTCAGTAAATAGAACTTGATGATAGTCTAAGTGTTAGACTACTCTTCAATGCAGAATGATTACCTACCTAAGTACCCTTCCAGCACCCGGAATTCTATTCTACCGATAGAAAGAGCTGGTACGTTCTCAGAATCCTGAATCTCTTTTCCAAAGGACTGAGATGCACAGATTTCACATTGATCTGGGGCTTTTCAGGAGGGCCTTCTATCTGAAGTTGGAGGGACAGAGTTTATTTCTAGGCCTGGTTACATTCTGCTGAGTGTCAGTCTGGTGTCTTGGGTCAGCCGCTTACATACTGTATGACCTTCACTAATCAGCATCTTCATGATTCAGAAAAGGTGAACAGTATTCAGTCACTTGGTCACCAGGTATTTCATGAGCTCTTAAATGCATGTGAGCTACAGTTTTATGTACTTTGGGGACATCATTAGGATAAGTACAATTAATGTGGTCTTACAGGAGCCTATAGTCAAACAAGAAAGTTAAGATAGACTGGAATGATCTCAGCTAAAGCAAAAGAGGAGTGGGGCCCTATGAGATAAGCTACAGCTGTGGAGGAGGGAGAACTCACTTCTGACTGGGGGGATCAAGGAAGGCTTCAGAGATAGGATGACATTTGGATTTAGCTTTGAATACTAGATATAATTTTTGGTGTTTGAAGACTGGGTAAGATTTTTCTTTTGTAGGCAGAAGAAATTACATCAGCAAGAGCTATGTAATTAACGACTTTGAAACATAAGTATTATGTAAATCTCTTATTAGTCAGTGTTCTGGGTTATATGAGTCAGCCCTCAACCAAAACCCATTTTGCTTTCTATGCTAATATATATTTCTTTCATTAAGCCCTCATGTTCAGGGCATAGTGCTTAAATTTTCACACACACACACTCTCTCTTCTCTCTCTCTCCCTCTCTCCCTCTCTTTAACATTCTCTTTTGTTGTCTTTAATTAAAGAGTAGGGCCATAATTGTGCTAGGAAATTTGCCTTATTTTGAATTGTTAGGTGATCTGTTACCACAGATGTTTTAGTATATAAAAAAGTAGGAAAATACTATCTTACAACTTAGATTTCTCCTATTCTGAATTGAGCTTATTTCTCAAGAGCTACAAAAGAAGTTCTGATAGAGTGGAACAGAGCATGGAATTTCTGTCTTCTTAAGATGATAAGAAAAAAATATATATTTTTTGCCATAAATGCTATATCCTTTAATCCATTCATCTGCTTAGAAAATCTATAGCGAGAATACAGCATCTGTGTGTTTGACGATGTGGCTCAAACCATGACTTTTGGTCCCAATTAAATATAAATTGTGCATTTATGTGATAATAAGAAATACAAGTTGAACAATTTGTGGTCTATTCCAAATCCCATAGCACATGCTTAAAAGCCAGGGGTCCTTGCGCTTGGCAATGTAGTTTCCTAATATTGAGCATGTCGTGTCCCTTGAAATTGTGTGGAGTAATTTAATAAAATAATGAAACTCATAGGTGGTTTCCTGCCAAGATTTATTTTACTTTTCCTGCATTAATCACAGTTAATTTCTATCGAGAGGATATTTGAAAAATGATAAAAATTTTGCACAGAAAATATTTGTGACCTAATGTGATCATATTTTCTTGGACTGGCCTGGCTGCTATGTTTTTATTTTACTTTTGCATCTCCTGGAAGATACCTCCCTTTCTGGAAATGGGGCCAAATGTCTCATGTACTCCTTTAAACCCTTAACTGAAGCCTTTTTCTGGATAATGTGTTCCATATGTCTATTACAATTTGTATGAAGTATCTGTGCCTGAGTTCCTTTATTTATTGCAAGTTTCTTGATTTTTGGAACATGACTTTTGGATTCTGAACCTTTGTTGAACCATGCTCTCGTGGGCTTGGGTTTCCAGACTGACCTTATTTCAGAGTGCTCTCTCTCTTTCTTGCTTGCTCGCTCTTTCTTCTCAAGTAAGGGGAGAGCATTGAGAAATTTAAAAAGAGTGGGCATGACTTTTGTAAAATACTTTGGCACTGACTCTAAGAAAAAAATGTTTGGAGGTTTGTTTGTTTGTTTGGCATAGTTTTAAGTAGCCAGATTTTGGCAAGCTAAGTTAGAGAAGGCTGTTTTTCCTTCCTATTCAGGATTAGCATGACTTCATGAAATGACCTTAGAAGCAATGTGCATTTATGCCCAGCCACCCTGGCGTCTCTTGCTTCAGATGTTCTGCACAAAGCCAAACCCGTGCTCACGCAGTGTACTCAGTGGATATATTACACTGCCTGTATATTGAAACATCTCCTTTGACATAAGGCATAGCCCACTCTCCCCATGTTGCCAAGACTGGGGCTCTCTCCCTTACTGTTCCACTGTCCCCGCCATTCATCAGCAGGATGTTGACTCCAGGGTCACCGGCTGCTGAGGCTGTAGACTCTGTGCGGTAGCTTCGATTTCAGGATCAGAGAGCTTTTCTCCTTACCCAGAAAATGCCATCCAGAATATTTCCTGTTCTCTTTCTATTTTGTTTTCTCAAATGCTGCCAAAGCAAATTTTATTTTAAAAGCCCAAGTTATTTTGGAAACGCCGAGGGGACCAAGGTGTTTCTGAATGGTTTATGATCGTGGCCCAAGCCAATTTGAAACCAAACGAATGTGTGTAAAAATATTCCCTCTTGGCAAAGAGCATAAAAGCCAAAGTTCAACTCATGGTGAGTTTTTATTGCCAAGTTATATACACCTCTCTGGGCAAAGGTTGGCCATGAGACGTTCGATACCACCTGACCTCAACAGAGGCTGTCTGAAGGATGCAGTGATGGTTCACGTGTGTTTTTAGGGCATCTGTGTGCTTTCTGCAGAAGCAAGCTTGCTCTTCTGAGCACAGCACTGCAGACTCACCTCCATTCATGTTTTACTGGGAAAGCTGGAAACCATAAAACTGTAACAACAATGCAAAAAATATATTAAAGGGAGAAAAACAAGCATATGGTGCCAAAACCTATAAAGTGTTTCGGTGACTGGGGTGGGAGTAAGGAGCCACTTTTTGATGTTCAGTATTTATACAGCTGCCTATTTAGTGGTAAGAATTCATAGCAGCTGTGGTACCTCTAAAACAGGAAACCACCAGCTCACTGTATTATTGAGATTTAAATGCCTTTTATGTTTTAATCACTCTCCGCACAGGAATGTAGGATCCTGAAGAATTTTTCCTCCTTGAGGGCCATCATTTCTGCGCTGCAGTCCAATTCCATCTATAGGTTAAAAAAGACCTGGGCCGCCGTCCCCAAGTAAGTTCCCAAGTGTCCTGCTCTGCTTTCTTTGGCTGGGGTGACTGGTCGCTGTATCAAGGGTGCGGGTCCTTGCCTTCAAAGCTCATATTACATAACTAGAGAAACATGTTTGAAAGCCTCTGTGTGTCCCAGGCAGGGTGCTCTTTACATGGAATCAGTAATGAGTTTTGAGAGGGGCTGCCACAGACAAAGTATGCCGAAGCCAAGTTACTGGCTTTGGGGATGATTTTAAGGATGTGCCTATGATCTAGATTCCGAGGGGTAAGTTTGTGGAGTGATGAAGTTATAGCAGTTTGCTGTTCCTTCTGGTTATTTCTCAGCCACATTCCAAAGCCCTAAGCTGTGCCAAGATGTGAGGGATCGTGTGCGTAGATAGGACATTAGTTCTTGCTGTTCGGCAAGAATCTATTCAGTTCACTTCTGTTTCAGCGTGTTAAAAGCCATCTGAGTGATATTCAAAACCGCCAAGTGTTCCTTCCTAGGCACCTGACTAAAGTTATCAACTGGCCACATTTCATATTGTTTTTCATTTTGTATTTTTTTTATACTGTTTTCATTTTATATTGTTTTTCATACTTCTTGGTGGAAGCTTTGGAACAATTAACAATTTATTGTCCTTATTATTTTACTCTCTTCCTTCCCCTAGTTCCAGAGCTTCCCTTGTAAACCAGAGAACTTTTTGCAGAGGAGGGAAAGGTGAATGAGGAGGCAGCTCTGGTTCCCTATCAGTACAGATTTAGAAGCTGGGGAATGTGTCATGGCTACACACTACGCCAATTACATTCAACAGGTCTACCTGGGCTTGCGCTAATCAAAAAGTCAGGCTGTATCGGGGAAGAATGTGTAAACTGTTTACAGTCTATACTGTATGCGGTATAGTCAGTTTCAGCCAGGAGGGGAGCCAGCTGGCTCCCCAGGCAGGCCTGCCCTTGTGGGATTGGTAGCTTTAGTCCTCAGGAGTGGAAGGTCTAGGCATTTGGTTTCATCAATTTACTTAGAGCTGATTAAGCCCTAAGGGACCGACACTATCCAAACTTGCAAGAGACCCAGATCGGTATACCAGAATTTCGTAAGATTATGCTGAAAAATGAGTGCCAGAGTACTCACACATACCAGTGGGCTCCTATTCCCAATCAGAAGAAAGGCTACTTGGGGGAAGTCAAATTATTTATTACATAAGGCTTTGACGAGTCAGTAGAAAAAAATCGAAGTGGCTGATCGTAATGCCTGGTGTTACAGAGCCGTAGAAGCCACAGGCACTTGGAGACTCCAAAGCTCATGCTCTGTTTACAACACTGTTACCTACCAGGAGAAAACCTGGTAGATGGGCTTTCCAAAGTCCAGTGAAATTTTTTTGATCACCGCTTATTCCTTAGGTTCTTTCTCCTCTTCGTAAGTTTGAATAATCCAGCTGACTCTGTATGTGCAAGAAAGATTAGTTGATTGGTTTTCCTTTGCATATAAATCTTATGAAAGAGATGGGTCATATAAAATCATGAGATGATAGGCCTCGGTAAAATACAGTGGGAAAATCAGATACATACAGAGTCCTCATCCTCAATAGTGCGGGCCCCTCTCCTTCCCCTCATCAGTAGTCCCCGGTCATGGTATCAAAATAAAAACAAAGGGGGCTCAGGTGCTGAAATAGCTCCTGTGCTTGATTGCAACCTTCTCTGATTGCAACGAAAGGTAATCCTATCTTTCTTTGGTGGTTGATAAATAGCATACTGTGGAAAGTCAGTTAGCCAGCCAAAGATTTCTTCCACAGCAAATTTGAGGTTAAAACACAAATAAAAAAAAAAAAATTAGTGGAGTTGTATCTTAATCTCTTGGTTACCATATGAGGCCCATTCTTCCAGCTGGCTTTTTAAATGATTTCGCCTCAAAACAAACCTCAAAGCCTCATTCTGTACAGTATGGGTGTCTGGTTTGTTTCTTAGTTGGTCAGTTCATGTTTTAGCAGGGATGCTGCAGAAATGTCATGAGAAGATGCTTTCATATCAGCTTTCCATAGTTTTCACTGCTAAATTCAAGGGACAAAGTTAGGATACCTTATTTGGTTGTCACTTTCCCTGTAATCCTTAATGCTAATCACTTTTCAGTGGACAGAGAAGACGTCTATTTATTTCTCTTTATTTAGGCCCACATGTAATTAAGTTCTTAATTATTTTTTCCAAAATACAAATAGCTGTAGTGGTTTTCTTTATGACAAGAATAATATTACCCTCATTATAAAACAAATAAGTTAATAATGGCTTTCCCGTGATCATGACGTGCTGCCTGGGGAATGATATGGCCCCGTCAATTCTCTGCCTCTGGAGTCCTCCACTCAGTAACCCTAGAGGGCTGGAAAGAAAAGCCTGAGGCCCGTGGAGAGGGACAGGGCCTCCAGAAGAGAGAGGGCAGAGTAGCCACTTTATATATTAATGATCCTGCTGACCTTCACTGCGGTCCCTCAAGGGGACTCCTAGGATGTTCCTTGTATAGGTAAGAAAATGGAAGCTCAGGATGGTTAAGCAAAGGGCCCAAGAGCCCTTGGGGAGGGAGGGGCAGAGTGGGGATTTGAACCCCCGCCCCTGACCAGAGCCCGTTCAGCTTCCATCTAATCTGACTCTGATTTGAGAGCACTGGCCTGTGACTCAGGAAATTTGGCTTCTACACCTGCCATGCTCAAAACTTAGCAATGGAAATGTCAGCAAATCCCTTACCCTGGCATCTTCATCTCTAAATGAGGGAACTGGCCAGCATGATTTCTCAGTCCCCATGGGGCTGTGTGTGTGTTGCTAAGACAGATTTTTTTTTAAAGAACATGTCCCATTTGAACAACTTGATGCCCCAATTTAGCAATCCTTATTTATGATTATAACAGGTGGTTAGGAAAACCCCCCTCTTCACATAGGTGACTGTGTGTACCTTTGAAAAAAAAAAAGAGGAACACCTGGGTGGCTCAGTCGTTAAGCATCTGCCTTCAGCTCAGGTTGTGATCCCAGGGTCCTGGGATCAAGCCCCGCATCAGGCTCCCTGCTCAGCGGGGAGCCTGTTTCTCCTTCTCCCCCTCTCTCTGCTTGTGTTCCCTCTCTCGCTGTGTCTCTCTGTGTCAACTAAATAAATAAAATCTTTAAAAAAAAAAAGCTGCATGAACAAAGTCATTGGCTTCCTCTCTGCTCCTGAGATCAGTCCAATCCCTCTGTAGCCACAGGTAACGGAGGGCAGCAGGGCTGAAGGTGTGGGCCTTTCACTGACTATTTGTGAATGTTTTCTTCCTCCCACTCCCAGGGACCGGATGCTGATGTTTGAAGAACTTTCAGATATCTTCTCCGACCATAACAACCATTTGACCAGCCGGGAACTTCTGATGAAGGTGAGGCTCTTGGTGGGGGCACCGGGCCGCGTCGCGGATAGCTCTGGAATCCCTTCAAGGGGAGAGTGGCTTGAGGGCTCCCCACATTCCTGCAGTCCCAGGAGAAAGCCTGCAGCAACTAGAAGGCAGCATTTTTGTTTTTGCGGGCAAATCAAAGAAGCTCGGGGCTGAGAAAACTGAATGTCCAGCTCCGGAGCTTCACGGTTACACAACCAGATTGTGAAACTTGTGCTCACGAGTGTATCTCTTTAACGAGCCGCTCTGCGGACACCAAGTGCTGGCGGCAAGGTGGGTGAGAGGCCCTGGAATATTCCTTCTCAGCAGAACATCTTCTAGAGTGACAGAGGCCAAGCCCGCAATTCCATATCCTGTATTTGGACCAAGTTGCACGGGCCCATCAGCAATATTTAGTGAATGCCAAGTGAGTGCTGACTTTAGAACCGTAGAAGGTAGAAGTATAGCTCGGTTGATTTCATTTCCCCAGACATTTGTTGAATGTCCAATATCCGTAAAGCACTGGAGCGGCCTCTAGGAATATGAAGGCGACTAACCCATAACCTGTTTTCAAGAATTCACCCTCTGGCTGGTGGATGGAGGCACTAACTGAGAATAAGTAGTCAAATAAAGGTACAAATAACAGGTTGTGAATGGTCATCAGAGGGGCACATAGGCCAGATATGATCATCACAACCTTTCTATAAAGTAGGTTTTATCATCCTTGTTTTGCAGATAGCCAAGACTCAGAGAGGTAAGCCCTGTGTCGTAAGTCACACACCCGGTAGGTCATTAGTATGTGAACCCTACCTGGTGAGACTCTAAAGCCTGTGCTTTCATCACAGAGGCATAAAACTGTTTCTTCTGCCCACTTGGTAGTAGGGGGCAGGATAGATCAGAGAAAACTTCACAGAGAAGGTAAATCAGTAATTGAACAACAGTTGATTGAGCGTTCGCGATGTGCTGGGTGTCCGAGGTGCAACCACACTGAAGGCAGTCTCAGATCTGAAAGAGATAGCATCTCATGGGGGCCAGGTAGAGAAGCAGACAGTTATAAAATCATAGGGTATGCACTACCATAGCCCTGAACTGGGCAATTAGAGGATATGATCCTTGTCCTTGGTCTCTTTTTCGGTATAAGAGACTGTATTATCTGTAGAGATAGTAGTATTTAGTCCACTGACTTCACAGAATTGATTTGAAGATTGACTAAGATAAAATATTTGAAAGCCCTATGCAAATGTGTTTTTAGTATTTGGCATGCTGTGTGCACACGAAGCCAAAGTATGCATAACAAATCAAAGTGAGTAAAGTATGGGCTACATACACAAGCTCAGAGCACCCACTTGGAGGAGGGATGAAAGTCCAGTGGAGGTGGGGTCCCTATGAAAGGGCATCCACCTAACACCTATTAGATTAGTCATTCCTGTAAGGGCATCTGTTATGGTCTTCCTGACGGTTGTCCTCCTAAGTCCTGCTCTTCCTGCATGTCTGTCTCATCGTGGGCTCTGCCGGGAACCCAGCCTGTTTCCCTGCTGGCCTGCAAGCCTCTTGCAGGCAGGAACTGGGTTCTTTTTGTCACTGTTCTATCCTTAATGCCTGACACAGTGCCTGGGATGCAGCAAATGTTCAGAAACTCTGTACAACTGCATGAATTGGTGGGCCTTCAGACTCATGTGACTTTGAGAAGCTGCCCACTTGGAGTCAGTGATAGGAACAAGGCAGTTTGTGCTGATGTCCAGCTCTGGATTTGGCCTACCTGATTAGCTGCACACTAACCAGTGCTTGCTGAGATCGTGTTACTCCCTGCTTCGTGTCCCCCTGGATTTGCAGACTTTAAATGGAAACTCATCTGGCTGGAAGGAGATGGCTTAGTTGTCTCCCTGTCAGGAATACAAAGCTAGACTAACTGGAGCCACACATTCAAATCCCAATAGCTCTGAGTCATCCTTCCAACATAGATAAATTCAGTGCCGTGCAGCCCATTGCCTGGTGGCGGTGTTCTGGCCAAAACCTTAGAAGCAAAGCCGTATCTAGACATTAAAGGTCCCGTAAACCTTTCTTAAATGTAGAAGTTGGCCCTTGTGCTCTAAATTAAATTTCTTCTACATGGCTCCAATCCCAAAGAAATGAAAAACTTGGCTATGAATTCCTGTGGTCTGTGCATTATCATTACAATGGTGTAATGTGTTTTGGGCAGGCCGTATGTATATGTAGGTCCCTTTCCAGTCACCTTTGTTGATCATTCTTCATATGAAGTATGTAAGTCTGAGTGTTAATTCTCAGCATGGTTGTAAAAAAAAAAAAAAAAAAAGGAATCAAGGTAGTTATGTTCTCAAAAGAACCACAGAGAAAAACTGCAGGCCTCTGTTTCTAATATGGCGTTCCTGGACTCACACTGATTTACAGTTGGGTAATCTTAGTCTTAAAGACTGGTCTTCTCCTTCATTTCCGGGTAGATGTAATGTTCCACCTCTATGATATTCTGGCTGAGGCAACATAATAATAAACAAAAATCTAAAAAAAAAAAAAAATCTAAGGTTTTCATTTTAACTGTGGGGGAAAAAATTGTTTTTATTTTTCTCAAAGATTATCTTAAACCTGTGATGATGAACTTAGATCACTCCGAGCGGTTGAATTGTAGAGTCCATAAATTTTAAAGCAGCAGAAAAGCAGACTGCCACCAGATTGTCCTGGTTCTTGGGACTCTTGGATGAGAACTCTCCCTGGTGGAATTACATAAAAACTGTGAGAAAGGCCCAGGAATTTGGCTCTGGTGAAAACGTATGTGTAGTGAAGCTCTGAAACATACTCAAGTCGCGGTTGGAGCAGGCCTGTTAGGGCTCTGAAGGCCCATTCAGATCGCTACCACTAACTTCTGGGCAATAAAGTACCCAACACTGATTGAGAAGAATCCAGTGCCTGCATACACCCAAGGCCCAGGAGCAGGGTAGATGAGGCGGCTGAACTCATGGAGGTGGAGAATAGATGGGACTCAGGTGAGAAATTTTTACTAGAGAGAGAGAGGAAGGAGCGGGGGGGGCGGGGGGGAAGATATAGGAGGGGAGCAGGAGGTTGATGGAGGGAGAGGGAGCCATTTGGAATTCATCCAAACATAGGCAATCATTAAGGATGACGTTTCCAAAGACCCAATTATAGCAAAAAACAAGAAGGTGACTTTGGCAGAATGAAGAGACACTAGGAGCATGAGTGTGGCCAGCAAAGGAGTCAGAAGGAAGGAACCAGTGTGATGCCATCAGCAAACCTGTGAAAAGTTCCAAGGGGTTTCAAGGGATCGGTGCTGTGAGAACAGAGCAGAAGATTTAGGGCCAAGAAGGGAAAATGGATACTGCTGGATGTGGCAAATAGTAGGTTTTCAGTTGACACCTTATCTGGAAGAAGTTGCACTAGCCATCTCTTCCATGACCCAGCGAGGAACGGAGTCTAACTCTCTTGAAATCATGAAGTCATGAAATCCGCAAGCCTGCGAGCTCTCACCTCAGGTCTTCACCCTCCCTGCCAGCAGGGAGGGTGTCCCAAGTGCTCTTCCTTTCTGCCTCTGCTATTCTGTGGCTCTCGGGAGCCTTTTAACTTGTCAGAAATCCTTCTTAAGAATTTGAGGTCTGCCTTCCATAACTTCCACACATGATACCTCTTCCAGTGATTGAGAAGCTGGAAGGGGACCAGAGGGACCCACACAGGGAAGGGATGTACACTTGCCTTCAAGTCAGACAGAAGCGATTGCTCACTCCAAGCAAATTCTCAAGAATTTGGGAGGACTCACCACCCCCTCGCTTGGGAAATGGAACATTTTAGGCAGCCTTCATTCTTGCCCAGGAAAAGCTGTATGCAGGAGGTGGCTAAACAATACTGCTCCTTATCATCATTTGTGACAGGGAGAATTAAAATAGATCATGAGTCACTGTGGGCTCTGGACCCAGGTGAGGGCTGGTGAATGCTAGGAGATCTTGGTGCCTCGCTGACATCGGGAAGGCCAAGTCTGCAGAAGACGCCGCTGCTCTGTGTGATCGGGGAAGGTCACAGGCCATGGTAACATAAACCCCAGGAAGACTGACCAAGGAAAAGCTACCGGAGCGCTTGTCCCCGACCAAATTGTGAAATTTGCCTCCCATTCATACAGTTCCTGGAAAATGAGAACTCAAAAGACCCTGAAACCACAAAACCCCAAAGCACTGTGTTCAGTCAGCAGACTGGAGTTTAGTCACCATCGTGGAAGAGTTTGTTGTGACAACAGACAGGAGCTGAGGAAGGGTAGCCATCCGTCCCCAGGCCCCAGGAGGAAGGATTGACTTGTAAGAGTTCCAGACCTGAGAAAAGCAACTCAGGAGGATAGGTTGGGGGGAGGAAAATGGGGGAGAAAAAGTAGGCGAAGGTCTGGCTTTCATAGGTTAGTGCTGCTCCACGATACGGGGCTTCCTCAGAAAACTTCCGGTACAAAAGTTTCATTTAGCTAAGAAATAACCACAGAAAGAATCCCGTTTCTTTCACAGAATGCTGGCACATGTGTTTCAGGCAAAGAGCAAGAAATCACAAAACGTACTGAGGAAGAGATCTTCATTTCCGGGGCATGTGATTAGTCCCAGTGAAATGTAGGATATGCAAAAAATTGCCTCGGTTCTGGGAACTTTGGGCCTGGTATTGACCATTGATTTGAACCACAAATCAGGGGTTCTTCTTACAAAGCAGGGGGGATATTGGGATCACCCGAGGCCACCAGACCTTATTGCACATAGACCGCTTGCGACAAGCTGGCTGAACATTGACATAATTCAGCCCAGAGCCTGCTGGAGGCCTCTTGCTTTTGCACGGCATGCAGGCCATTGTGCAGAGGTTCCGGACCAGAAGCTATGTGCTCCTTCTCTTCCTTCTGCTGCCACTCTCCATTGCTCTCCTCTGTGTGTGCTTCTGTTTCTTAGGAAGGAACCTCAAAGTTTGCAAACCTGGACAGCAGTGTGAAAGAAAACCAGAAGCGGACCCAGAGGAGGCTTCAGCTCCAGAAGGATATGGTACGTACTGGCCCTCAGTCTTCCCTCAGGACCCGTCAGAAAGCAGCCCTGTGTGGCTGGTGGGGCTCCTGCATGGCCCCAGCACCTTTGATCTGCAGGGCACCCCTGCTTCCAGGAATGTTCTGCATCCTTTATTTATTCTCCACAGCCCTGGGAGGTCTGTAGGAGACATATTATCACTCCCATTTGACCCAGTGGGAAATAAACCCTTACACTTGCAAAGCATAGTGTTCTCTGGAACATTTTTTCCTCTAGAGGTAAGGAGAAAAGTCTGCAGGAGGTAGACTTCCTCCCTCTTGCTGTCTTCCTCCGTCCACTCCTGCACTTAGAAGCTGCTGCTACCTTGGCCTTGAGACCTCCTGGGCTTCGGTTCCCCAACAGGAATGCCTACTGTAGTCAACTTTGGACACCTGGTGGCCTAGCACATGGGTGCCGAGGAAAGAGCGTCTGCTCCCAGGAGGACTTAGTCTGTGTACTGGCAGATCTTTTCATTTGTTCCAAACCCTCTCTCCATTTTCCAGCTTTCCATACTAATCCCAAGGACTAGCCAGACCTTTTTCTAGTTTTTCAATACTCAAAGGAATACCGCACCTCCTTCCTTAAGACTGAAAGATAGTTACCATCTTTAGCTTTATCTTAAAGCTTTATTTTAAAAACTCTCCTTTTAGCATGGAAGAGGGAAAACCAGAGGGAGAGGAGGTTAAGAAACTGACAACCTCTAGATCGTCTCATCCCTGCTTTGGGAGGATTTTCTCCTTCTTTGGAAGGCTGGACATAAATCAGAAATGTTGTGTTTGAATGATACGACTCTTCTGTACCATAAAGCCTATGAAACATTTCACAGCATTTCAGACTTTTTTTTAGTTGTTCAAAGATAAGTTAAAAATAGCTGCTAAAAAAAGATTATTTTAGTTCAGGATGAGACCTTGTGCACATAACAGGGAAGGACAAACTGGGCCTGAGAGAGAGTCCACGGGGTGAACCTCTCCAGTTAGTTCTGGCCAAGGAGACAGCTGGCCTCCCATGGAGCAACCTGGTCCTGCCCTGGCTGGGGCTGTGTTTTCTTCCAGAATATCCTAAGTGCCTGAATGGAAGTGAGGAGAAGGTATCCATGGAAGTTAGTGCCTCAGCGGCCTTATGGAGAATTGAGATGATCTCAAAGGAAATTTCATGAGATTAATACTGCGTATACCTGCAGTTGAAGTGATTCTGTCTTCATTTCCAAGGGACAGTTAAAAAAAAAAAATAGACTTTTTACTATGAGTTTACGGATAAGTTCCAGATAGTACATGGAGTTTCTCTGAAGCCCTCCGCCCGTGTCCCCCATTGTGAACACCCTCTCTGGCCATGGCCCATCTGTCAAGCCCGAGGCACCAAGACCTCAGTGCTGGTGTGAACTGTGAACTGAAATCCAGACTTGATTGGGATTTCACCACTTTTGCATGAGGACGCTCTTTCTGCTCCAGGAGCCAGGTCAGGGAACCATGCTGTAAGATGCTGTCCTGTCTCTCTGTCAGGCCTCCCTGCTCTGTGAGAGCTCAGCCTTCCTTGTTGCTCCTTCCCTTGACAGTCTTCTGGAATACCGTCCTGGGCATCTTTAGAATGTCCCACAATCAGAGTGTGGCTGTTGTTTTCTAGTGAATAGGCTGAGATTATGGATTTGGGGGAAGGATATCACAGAAACAAAGTGCCATTCTCGTCACATCCCATCAAAGAGTCACTGGTGATATTAACCTTCATCACTTAGTTAAAGTAGTATTTTGCCAGATTTTCCACTTTAAAGTTACCATTTTTCCCTTTCCGGCTTCTATCCTTTGGAAGTGAGCCACAAAGTCTAGCCCATTTTTTAAAAGGATTTTATTTATTTATTTGAGAGAGAGAGAGAGAGAACAAGCAAGGGGAGAGGGAGAAGCAGGCTCCCCACTGAGCAGGGAGCCCAGTGTGGGACTCGATCCCAGGACCCTGGGATCACGACCTGAGCCGAAGGCAGACGCTTAACCGACTGAGCCGCCCACGTGCCCCCCAAGAGGCCATTTTCATAGTGACACCCCATGCTCTTGTGGTATACACTCTTCCTCAATGTACAGTTGCCCTCCTTTACCAATGGTGAAGCCATTCCAAACCCCCAGGAGTATCCACACACTCTGAAAGAGAAAAGCCATCCCTTGAAACAGCCTAAGCAAAATACGAATCCTCTGTGAACACTCTTGAACATACTTGTATGATCTCCTGGCTTTGAGGCCTGTTTTCCTAACTTTGAAAGTTAGAGGGGTGCCTGGGTGGCTCAGTTGTTAAGCATCTGCCTTCGGCTCAGGTCATGATCCCGGGGTCCTGGGATCGAGCCCCGCGTCGGGCTCCCTGCTCCGCGGGAAGCCTGCTTCTCCCTCTCCCACTCCCCCTGCTTGTGTTCCCTCTCTCGCTGTGTCTCTCTCTGTCAAATAAATAAATAAAATCTTAAAAAAAAAAAGATTAGGTGATAATAATTCCCATCCTTTTTAAAAATCTTAAAAATTTCATTCATGGAGGTTAACACTAATGGTCTTCAATGGTCCTTCATTTTCTCTGAATGCTCTCAAGGCTTACCTGGCCAAAGATTGCTGCTTTCATCTATGAACGGTCACTTGCCAAATTTAGCCAACAACAGGTGCATTTGCTCCAGCGTGGAGGCTCCTGAAACCCTTCCACTTTTTAGTAACAACAAAGGCCGTTTTGCTGTGCTTGCTCTTCAGGGTGTGATGCAGGGGACTGTGCCCTACCTGGGCACCTTCCTGACTGACCTCACCATGCTCGACACTGCTCTTCAGGACTATATTGAGGTGAGTTGTTTGAATGTGGTGACTTGGATACCCAAGAGAGAATTTCACTGTATTAGTGTCTGTTGAGGGCCCATTATGAATGCGGCACTGTGTTAGGTGCTGTGAGGAATACAAAGCAGAGTAACACCGGAAGTGACTCACAAGCCAGTGGAAGCTATGTATCGAGGCTGGCAGTGACTGTGGAAATACTAGGAATTCAGGCAGAAATGCAGTGAGAGATGAGGGGAGGTCACCATCCATTCCATATGCGGGGGAGGGGGGGTGATGGCAGGGCCTTACAGAAGGAGTGGGTTTGAGAAAGACCTTGATTTTGAGTAGCATTTGGGCAGGTAGGGCTGAGGGGTTGATATGCCCTAATACTCTACTTGGTGGGGTAGGGAGGTGGCCAAATTTGTGGATTTTTAATTGTTCTTTTCTTTTTTCATATAATTACCTGCCCTGAGGTGCTCTTGTGCTTTCTCTCGTGTGTGCAATCTTTGTCTCTCAGGGGGAAGAGAAGTGAAAGTTAAGCTACTTGTTAGTAGCTGTAATAAAATATAAAGTGGAGAAGGAATTTGACATTTGAAGTGAGATTTAAGGATTGCTTGTAAATCTAAGTCTCTGTCCCCTCCCTCGTTCTCACATGTGATGAGTCTGCTTCTACTCTGTCAGAGTTAGCAGGCCTGGTGGTGGTTCTGCATGTACCTACCTCCAAGCTCGTCATGATGTTGTGGGCATGTGCATTTATTTTGCATTTCCTGAGCTCTGTCTCTTCATGTCCTCTGCCTCAGCTTATCTCAGGAAACACTCATTAGCACTGGGGAATTTTTTGGGGAGTGACTGATGATTTAGAAGTTATATTCAGCCTACTGAGAACAGGAGCTGGGGGATGAAGAATTGAAACTTAACTTTTCACAAAGCTATATGTAGAAGTGACTTCCCTTTTAATAAACCATTAACAATTTGGATTCCAGTATGAGTCAATGACCATCTGTTTTTGTTGCTTTGGGTCAAGAAATAAAGTGTAATGGACTACAAGCTTTTGCCCTTATCGGCTCTACAAATGTATTTGGATTCTGAATTGTAACTTCCTTATCATTACTATTTTAGTTGGTTTTGGACATTTTATAAGACGGCTGTATGCCTGTCCTGTCCTATTAGAATTCAAAGAATGTTTTTCTTGAAGCAAGTGGTGCTTCTCTTCCTACACAGTAGCCATAATTGTGGTGTCATTGGTCATGGTGACTTTATCATCCCTGTGATCTGTTTTAATGATCCATAGAACAATATAGGGCTGTATTTCAAAGTAGCTTGGTTTCTCACTATTTTTTTTATTGAATTTCTTTCAGGGTGGACTGATAAACTTTGAGAAAAGGAGAAGGGTGAGTAGAGGTCTTGGCTGCAGTGTCCCATTTTACTTCATTTGGGCATGAAAAAAGAGAAGCAGGGACTTAAGCCTTTTTTTGTAGAGGCAAAAAAAACAAAAAAAGAATTTGCATTTATCAAACACTTACCATATACGACTGTACCTTGTCCAGTCCTGTGTATTACTCCCCCAGAGTGCTGTGAAGTAGGTTTTATCTTCCTCAATTCCCAGGTGCAGAAGCCGGCCCCAGACCCGGTCGTGCTGCTGCAAGGCCCACATTTCTTTCCTCACCCTTCCTCATCTCTTCTTTATAATCAGCCTGGGCAACAGCAGGTTCATCCTATGAAAGAGAAGGGGTTTTGAAAGAGTAAATGACATATGGAAGAGTTAAAGATGGTGAAGAAAGGAAAGGTGTTCACTGTGACATGTCGATAATTCTCTTCCTTTCCTGTCAGCATGGGAAGGGGTGAATTTTTCTGTGGAGAGAATAGTGGATGGCTTTGCATAGCACTAAAAAAAAAGAGAAAACAGAGCTTTGAAAATTTGCTTGGTTTTAGTGTAAAAATGGTGTGTTTAAATAGATAAATGATGCAAAGGAAAATGAGTGAACAAAGGAATGCCTTCACCTCATAACACTTATGACTAAGGAAGCTTACTCAGTCCTTCATTCTTTCATTCTTTTACTCCCCAAAAATTGATGGCGTACCTCACATGGGCCAAGCACTCTGATAGGTTTGGGGGTTGCTGCAGAGAAAACCCAGCACTCCCTGCCCTCATAAACTTCACAGTCCAGGAGGAAGGTAGACAAATAAGTCAGCAGTTCTAACACAACTGATAAGGTCTTGTGAGCGGAAGTCGTGGATATCATAGGAAGACGTAGGAAGGGCATCAGTCCCCAACTTGTGGGGTCAGAGAAACTTCCAGGAGGAAATGAAATTGGGTTAAAACCAAACCTTCAGGAGCCAACCAGGCTGAGCTCATGTTAACATAGACAAATAGACAAATGTAAATCTTCTGTCCCTGGTAGAGTATACTTTAGCATGATGATAAATATTCCTTGAGGTTATTGAGACCAAGAGCTGAGGTTGTTGGATGGGAAGTTGATACCCACAGAACCTGCCTGTTGTTGAGTTTCTTCTTTCATGTCCTGTAACAATAAAACAAATTCACTTACTGGCCTCCAGAGTTACCCATCTTTGTCCTTTAACTTCAGAATCACCCTGGATGCCTCTCTCTTTCCTTTTAAGCCTAGCATGTTAAACTTCTGGAAAATTTGAGTATAAAACCTAAAGCTAAGGCTTATACCCTTTGCTGACTTAAAAAAAAAAACTTTATTGAAACATCTAAAGAAGTATAAATAATTTTGGACATAATTATGTACTTGCTTCTCTTGTGAGCTTTAAAAGATTTAGTTAAAGGATTTACTGGAGTAGTAAAAACCCAAGGATTTGGGAAATCCAAACATTCAAGTTTATGAGGCCCCGGACTGTTTAGATATTCAACCCTACCAAAACTTATTTACTGAGGGGTAAGGGTTGAAGAAGATGGCAATGGGGAACTTAGGAGCCTCCTGACTTAAATTTTTTCTCTCTCTTTTAGGAAATAGAAATGGAAATTGAAAATATATTTTAAAAGTACACAACTTTAAAAAATAAGTTTTCTATCCCTAGAATGAAAACCTAAAAGAGAAAAAGGGAGCCACTATGGCTTTAGGTAATAACGAGTTTGGGTTGCTCTGCTAGCCTGTTTTAGTTATATCAATTTGCTTTTTCAAGGGGGGTGGGATTGGCAATTAAGCATACAAAGACAGGGATTCAGAGTTAGAATTTTTAAGAGTTATTCAGTTCTTTTATTTCTAAGAAAGGCAGGACTTCAGAGTCATCCTAGATGGTTTTCTCCATTGTATATCCTAATGTGGTGTGAATTCATGTTGAAAAGAGATATATTGGGTCGGCCTTATTATTTACTTTCTTTTTGGTGTTCTGTCTGCTGTAGGAATTTGAAGTGATTGCTCAAATAAAGCTCTTGCAATCTGCCTGCAACAGCTATTGTATGACACCAGACCCAAAGTTCATCCAGTGGTTCCAGAGGCAGCAGCTCCTAACAGAGGAGGAGAGGTAGGTGCTCATATTGTCCATCAGGGTGGAGCTTCGATGTTGGTGAGAAGAATACTACCTCCATTTCCTCATTGGCCCATTTTTTCAGCAACTATTTAGTGAGCAGCTAGTAGATTCTAGAACCTCAGTTTTCAAAGGATAATGGTATAGCAGGAGAGGTGGATGGATGGCATCAGAACATGTGCTTTCAGATTCTTGCTCTACCATTTTTTTTTTATCTTTGTAACCTTGAACAAGTCACTGATTCTTCCTGATCTTCAGGATGCTTATCCATAAAGTGTTTGTGAGGATTAAATGAAATTGTATTTGGAAAAGCACTGTTCAAGTGCTGATCATCATTGCCCTCATCATCACCACCACTACTGCCTCCATCATCACCGTGTTTGTCATTTTTGTTCATTGGGACCAGCTTTCCAGGGAGCTTTCAGTTGGGAAGGAGAGACAGATTCATGAAGAACTGAAATCTGGCGGGTAGCTGAAGTGCTGCAGGATCTATGGGCGGGAGCAATTTGGTCAAGGATGGGGGGAGGTAGGGAAGATCATCGGAAAGGTGTGAACGTTTGGACTAGGCTGTGAAGGAGAGCTAAGATCTCACCAGGAGAACTTGAAGAGAACATACTAGACAGAGGGAAGAACATGAACAAAGGCTTAGTGGCCTGACATGGTTGGCATTTGGAAGAACAGTGAGAACTCTGTTGTGGCTGGGACACAAGGGACAGGTTTCAAAATCATGGTTGACAAGCATGGAAAAGCACGTTAACTCCAGTGCCTTGAACGTCCACCCAGCAGGGGTGTAGTCTTTACCCTGTAGTCCAGCAGATTAGAGTCTGCAGGCACTATCCGGCCCACCACATATTTTTATATTTTTAAATGGTTGGGGGAAAAAAAGAAAGGGAGATTATAACATGGAATAGTTATTTGACATTCAAGTTTTAGTATCCATAAATAAAGTTTTATTGGGATACAGCCCATTCATTTACATCTTATTTATGGTTGCTTTCATGCTTTAAAGGCAGTTAAGTAGTTGGAAGAGAGACCATATAGCCTGCAAGCCTAAAATATTTGCCATCTTGTCCTTTACAGAAAATATTTGCTAACCCCTGCCATAGACCAGGGGATTTCCTTGAAAGTTTATCGTCAGGGAGAGCAAAATCGACAGCAAAATAAGTATTTTGCCAATGAGGAAATTGAGATTCAGAGAATAACTGACTCTAGTCAGTGATAGAGTTTGGATTTAAATTCTGATCTTCTTGACCCTACAACCTAAGCTCTCAAGGTGGTTGTATGATGTTGGGCAAATCGTATAACCTCTGTAAGCCTCGGTACCCTCATTTGGAAGATAGATGATTTCTGAGGTCCTTTTTTTATCCCAGAGTAGATTGGTCCTGTTACATTAAACAAAACATGTGATTCAGTACTCCTTTGTTGGTGAAGATTTTTTTCTTTGCCATGTAGAAAATAAAGCAGTTACTGCCTCACCTTACATTTCTGGTCTGATGATCAGTGTGTATGAGTTAATTTCTCTCTATGTGTTCATCCTTCTCACATATGGAACATACATACCATGGCTGGTGATATGGATCAGAAAGTCTAAGCTCACAATATCAGCTGTAATAATTAACTTTTTGTCAATTGTATTAATTGACTTTTTAATGATTAGAGGAATCTTGCTAAATATATCCCATTTTTTCCTTCCTATTTACAACCACCTCTAGAGCTTAAGTTGATATTTGAAAAATTCCTTTATCAGTGAATGCCCACACATGAGCAAATATCTGGATACATCTTTAGGTTTAAAAAAAAGTACAGGTAATTAACAAATTACTAAGCTACTATTTACCGCACTCACCCTTCTGCACCTCTCCAGAGCCAAATACATCTACAAGTTAGAGCTACAAGCTTTCATAAAAGACATTTCAAGTCAGATATAAATCCCTTTTGTGCTTATGGAAGTTCTGTCTGCCTGGCATATAGATGTCTGCATTTGGAGCCTTTTAAATTTAGGGTGTTTTGACAATTAAAAATCATATTCAAATATCTTTACCAATAATATAACTGCCAATGTCTATTCACTAGAGATTAGATAGTTTGCAAAAGTCTCTTCTTTCATTTCTCTTAAATAAAAGTTGGGCACATGTGCACACACACAGAGTAGTGGGGGGAAGTAGCAGACAAGAAATAATTCTCCCCCTGGCTCAGTAGTGGGGTGAGAATGATCAGGAAACAGAGTGGAGTCGGCCTTCGATGCTGCCAAAGTGCACAAGTCCCTCTTTGAGGCACGCAGCACTAAAGGGCCTCAGTCCTCAGGCCAGGACGGGGATTAGAGCAGGAGGCGCACATGTAAATTTGTAAAATCTGGTCATTAAGTCCATCCCCTCTGATACTGGTGATGGAACAACATGGTACATGCATCTTTACTTTGAACCATCGGAGACTTCCTCTAAAACAAAATCGGCAAGTCATGTGAATTTCAACCCGTTCTTCAGTTCTCCAGCTCTGGCCTCACCACCCCCCTCCTCTTCCCCAGCTACGCCCTGTCCTGTGAGATCGAAGCAGCTGCTGATGCCGGCGCCACGTCGCCCAAGCCTCGGAAGAGCATGGTGAAGAGGCTCAGCCTGTGAGTGTTGCCTCCTTGATCCTTTCTCCACCAAATAGCCTGGTAGTCTCTTAAAACGTACACCGGATTATAGGATTATACCTCCTTGCTTAAAGGCCTTTGATGGTTTATTTGAATATAGCACCCTGATTCCTTGTCCTAGCTTAGGAGGACTTTCATGATCTTCCCCAACCTTCTTGACCACCTTCCGCCCATCCAGCCTTGCCCCCTTGTTCACCAGGATCCAGCCACACCCACCTGGTAGCCATCCACCAACCACACCAGGCTTGTTCCTGCCTCAGGGCCTTTGCACGGGATATTTCTTTGGCCTGACATGCTCTTTCTCTGTGGCTGGCTCCTTCAGGTGTGGGCAATGGTGTCACCTCCTGAGAGAGCACCCTCTCTGATGCTGCTGCCTGCTCCCATCCCTCTCAGTCACGCTGGCTCTTTCCCATGGTAGAACATTCGCCACCCAAGAGCAGGAACCTTGTCCATGATACTCGTGGCTGTATGCCCCGCTCGGTCCTAGGCATGCAAGAGACACTCCACAGCTAACTTCATAATACCTGCCTCCCTTTGAGTAAAATCAGGAGTCCTTACCGTGGCCCTCAAGACTCTTCAGGAACTGCAGTGTCATCCCAGGCCTGCCTGCCCGTCCCATGCCTGTCTGTCCTTATTTTTCCTGGCTCGCTCTACTCTGCATTCCAGCCAGCCAGACCTTGCTGAACGTGCTCGGTGTGCCATTCCTTCTGCTTAGAACACTGGTCCCCAGGTGGCCCGAGGACTTACTCCTTACGCCCTTCAGATGTTTGTTGAAATGTCACCTTCTCAGTGAGCCTTCCCCCAGCCACCTTATTTGCTACTATAACGTATCCGCCTTACCTGCCCATAGCATCCTCTCTCACCTGTACCTGGTTTGCATTTCTCCATTGCCTTTACCTCCACATGACATACTATATGTTGTGTGTGTCTCTTTATTATCTAGAATGCAAACTCCATGAAGGCAGGCATGTATGTCTGGTTTTTGCTCATTGCTATATTCCCAGGACCTAGAATGGTGCCTGGCACATGGTAGATAATTAATAAATATTTATTGACTGAATACATTGAGCCATGTGCCAACCCTGTTTTAAGAACAATACATGTATTTCTCATCCAATCCACAAAATAACCTAAGTGGGAGTTCCTACTCTTATACTGACTTTATAAATCAGGAAAGTAAGGCACGGACAGGGGAAATGGTGTGTTAGTTATTGGAAGATCTGGATTCAAACCCAAGATTTGGCTGTAGAGCCCAGGTTGTAACTTTTTTGCCATATTGCCTGTGGGGAAAAATACTTTCTGAAGGGAGAGAGGAAGGAAAGATGGAGCAGTAGGTAAAAAGTGGAGGAGGGAGAAGAGGGAGGGAAGGAAGACAAGGGAGAGAGACTTAGATATTGCCATATTCCCACTAACAGAAACTGCTCAGGCTTCCACCTGACATCAAGTGACATTTGAAGATGAGGTTGGGACATGTGATTTTGTAGAAAGCATTTTAAAGGTAATCTTGATCTCTTGCCACACCTCTCTCTGTTCAGATGCCTAATTTGGCCTTCCTGCACACTAGATTTATGAGCTTGTAGATTGACCTCTATAGAATTTTCCATAGTATCTTGCTATCTTTTCATCATGGCAATTATGGAGGAGAATGAACTCTCTTTTGAGATGACCCAAGGGCTTGGCCAAGCCTTGTCAGCTGGTAAGATTGACAGCTATACAGGGAATCAGGCTCCCTGCAAGGTGAGTCAAGGAATGCCAGGCATCCTGATGGTCATCTGCATCAGAAATAATTGGAAATTTCTGGACCAGCTATGGCAGTCACAGTTCTGCACAGGTAGATACAATCCTAAGTGCTACTACTTTGCCCTCTTGCTTTTTCTTCCCTGTTCTTAGGCAGTGGCCACTGCAGATGAATTTTTATATAACTGCTTCCCACTGCCCCTCTCCAACCCAGCCATCCATCTGTATTGTGCGGGGTGCTCTCTCTGCACCAACTCTGGCTCATGCACAAACTCTGCAGGGACAGTCCCGTGAAATCCAGGAGAAGCGGGATCATCAGGGCTCAGTGTCCTGCATAAAGTGTGGTCGAAATTGAGTACATGTCTCTTCTTGGTGAAATCTTGCCGAGATGCTTGAATTTAACCTTTGGTATCTGCAGTTGAGTTTGAACGTTTATCATGAATAAAACAGGCCCCAATGTCATCCATCGTATTTCTTGTACATATAAGGGTGTTTGTATACCTGTCGATTTCCAAAATATTTTATCGTCTTAGCATTTTTAAAAATGTGGCAAATGTACTTTTTGCTCTCCCCACATTTAATGACCCATTTCCCAAAGAATTGGAAAGAATTTGGGGGCCTTCGGGAAAGGCATGCTTGGTCTGAAGGTCAGAGATGCCTAGTATTGAGCTAGAATTAACCTTTACAAAGCAGAACTGACCTCATAGAGTTGTACAAATGGAAGAACCTTTCTTAGTCTTTGAACAATTTCATTCTAAGCTAGATTCTCAGATGATGGGCTGAGGACCACGAGTCCACAGCCTTCAGCGGTCTACTCCTCAGAATTTATGGAGCAGTACAACAGTGGCATTATTTTTTCTCCTGTGAATTGTGATCAGAGTTTAGCTCTTTCCCTCTATCCTCATTAGTGCCTGGAGGTCCCAGGAAGGAGACGACATGGAAAACGGGCAAGAGGTGGGGAGGGGCGGGGGGCGGAGATGAGGCAGAACAAAGATATGCTTCAGGTCTTGGAACTTGAGGGATAATGCCTGAAATATTTAATGAAAAATCAAGCTCATTGTTGCTACTATTGTTATTTTATACAGTCAGTGCTTGTTTGGGGTTGGCTGCATTTGCTAGTTTCTTTACATGCCTTTCCTTCTTGCATCTTACCCTTGCCTCCTTTTACTCCTCTCCCTGTCGTCTGTTAATGTAAACCCTCTCCATCTGTGTCTGAGAATGTCTTTACTTTGCGCTCACTCTCAGAGTTCTTTTAGCTGGGTATAGAATTCAAGGAGGACCGTTCTTTACACTCAGCACTTTGAAGACATTATTCCATGTCTTCTGATTTCTGTTGTTGCTTTTGAGATGTCTGGTATCTGTTTATTTACTGTTCCTTTGTTTTATGCCCCCTACCTTGTTGCTTTTAAGAACTACTTTTGTCTTTGATATCCTGCTAGACAGTTGAAGTGAGGATTGAGTCTTATTTATCCTATTCAAGACGTGGTTCCTGGGTCTGAGGATTCATGCAGTTCATTAGTTCTGGAATCTTCTAAGCCACCATCTCTTTAGATAAGGTCACTCTTCCATTCTCTCAATTGTCTTCTCTTGGAACTCTTCTTACACACATGTCAGCATTTCTTATTCCAATCTCCATGTCTTTTAACCTTTCTTATTTTCATGTCTTTATATTTTGATGCTGATTTCTGAAGATTTTCTTCAGATCTATCATCTTGTTCACAGTTTTTCTCTTCAACAGTTATTTAATCCTTCCACTGAGTTTTTCATTTAAATCACTACATTTTTCACTCTAGAAGTGATTTTTTTTTTTCAAACTGTCTTCCTGTTATTTTGTCAGGATATCTTGTTCTTAACTTCTGTTTTCAATTTCCTTTCTTATGTCTTTAATACCTTAGGCATATTTATTTTATAGCCTGGCCCATGGTAGACCCTCAGATATTTGTCAAATTAATGACTAAATTATTAGTTTCTTTCTGATAAGTCTTGTTGTAGGTCAGAAGTTCTGAAATTCTCAGGAGTCTAAACCTGCTATTTGTTATGCTTGTTTAACTCCCTTTGGGAGTTATTAATTTATATTAATAATATAAAATAATATAAATAATAAAATAATTTTATATTATGAGCTCGTCTTTATCAGAAAATCTTCTACATCCTGGTTTGAAGGTAGATTCCTCCAGAAAGTTTTTGGGTTTTGTTTTGTTTTGTTTTTAATTCTAGTTTGCACAGGAGTATTACTGGTCTGAGAGTTCCTAGTTCCTAGGTCACATTGGTAGCGAATCTGAGTGAGATGCTGGCCAAGATCACACATGATTTCAGGGGAGATGTTTTCCTTTCACCCAAGTGCAGGCCAAGGCAGATAAGCTTCCTTGTTGTCTTCCTGTGCCAGTAGGAAGATCTTTTTCTAGCCCATCTTCTTATACATGTATAGCCCTTTGAGGGTCTTGGCTCTGTTTAAGGGGTTTCGGTTTCAGCATCGCACCATAAACAGAAGCCTTCATCTTTGGGTCTGTATCTGTGTTAAAACCCTTGTCCCTCGTTTACCAAGATCTGTACTTCCCGATCCGCATCCAGAGCAGCTGCAGAATTAGCTCATGTTGCTTCTGGTTTTCAGTTCCCTGTTCATTTATGGCCTGTAGGGATTTTCCTTACTGTCTTGCAAGCTCAACTTTAAAAAGAGTTTTAAATGTTTCTTTTCTAGTTGTTTTATAGTGAAGTGGTTTAGCTTCCTGTGGTTCACCAGATGTTTGGAAACAGAAGTTGTCCTCTTTGGTTTCTTTTTCTTTTTTTTTGAAGATTAGTTATTTATTTATTTGACAGAGAGAGACACAGCGAGAGAGGAACACAAGCAGGGGGAGTGGGAGAGGGAGAAGCAGGCTTCCCACTGAACAGGGAGCCCGATGTGGGGCTTGATCCCAGGACCCTGGGATTATGACCTGAGCCGAAGGCAGACGCTTAACCGACTGAGCCACCCAGGCGCCCCTTCTCTTTGGTTTCTTGACCAGAGCGGAGCCAGTCTTCTTCCTTAGCCTCATTCGTAGTTCATTTTATGGTGGGAAGTGATAGGGGATGCAGCGATGGTATTTTGATCCTGCCAAAGTGGTCTATAGCATGTTAAAAAATAAAGAACTGTTGATCTAGAAGGACCTCAGATTACTATTGCCTCTCATTGAGCTAAGCAATCTGTGTGTTCTTTGAGGTTGGAAATTGCCTGTTTGGATAAGATGTTTACTATGATCCATGAGACACTTTATAGGAAACACTGTCCACCGATGACAGGGCATGCAAGATTGACAAAGCAGCTAAGGGGCTAATTAACACAAAACATTTGCTTAATCATGGATTCCAGATTTGTAAGAGCCCAAATGCCTGGCATTATGTTTCTTGCAGACTGTTTCTGGGGTCGGACATCATTACCAGTAGCACTCCCACCAAAGAGCAGCCCAAGTCCACTGCCAGTGGGAGCTCTGGCGAAAGCATGGACTCTGTCAGTGTGTCATCCTGCGAGTCAAACCACTCAGAGGCTGAGGAGGGCTCTATCACGCCCATGGACACACCTGATGAGCCTCAAAAAAAGGTATATGCTTATTCCCTTCCCATAATTCCTAACATAGACACCTGACATAATTTAGTGTTTGCCACATGAGAATGTCTGTTTTCAAGTTTATCACTCTACGGTGTTTTGAAAGTCATGTTTATAAGAGCTGTCAAAGCAGAATTCAGTCTGGGGACCCATTACTTATAGAGACAGGTCTAAAAATAATGAGCATGTTGGTTTATTCATCTGGACTTGAAAATACTGTTCTGGACCCACATCCAATGGTGACTGAAGGGTTGTGGCCTGTAACATGAGGTATGCTTTATTTAGGAGGTGTTGGATTTTCTTAGAAGGAGTGAAAAGTCAAGAGGCAGAGATGTGTCAACCTCTTGGTGTCATACCTTGTCTTAGCCACACTTTTACCCAGTAATCTTACATAGCAAACCACTCCTAAACTCAGTGACTTAAAACAACAACCACTTATTCTCTCTCATGCATCTATAGGTTGGTTGATGTGGGTTGGGCTTGGCCCTAGGCCATGGATTTGGTCCAAGTGTGCTCTCCCTGCCTCTCATTCTTCTCGGAGTAATGAGGCTCCCCAGGCCATGCTGTTAGTATGCTAAGACAAATGAGCAGGAAAGCAAGCCCAACCCCACAAGTATGTATCAAGCCTCTACTTCAGTCATACCCACCAACATTCCATTGCCCAAAGCAAATCATGTGGCCAAATCTCATCTAAATAAATGAGACAGGGAACTCCTTACAATGGGAGGAACTGTGGAGTCACAGGGCAAAGGGCATGGATGCTGAGGAGAATCAAGAATTGGTAGCAATTATACAATCTGCCGTGTCCCCAAAAAGAGAAAGTGATGAGAGGTGATAAAAGAATTCCCATTCCTATAGAAAGTTTTCGTGTTCCATGGTTTCATAAAGAAATAACAAGGAAACAAGATTTGTCTTAATCTTCTGTATACATCTGCTTCAATCGTTGGTCAAGAGCTTGGGTCAGAGATGTCAACTGTGACGTGACTAGAATTTGCACCATTTGGGGGAGATTTTTGGCCAGCCAGACTTGCTGTGTGAGTGACTGTTGGCCCCTTAGCTTATGCGTAAGCCAATGAGGTGGAGTGTTGGGAAGAATTCCTCCATTTTGTTTGTATCTGCCGTTCTGTCAGGGGATCGGTGTACAGTTTCACATTGTGTTACAAACAACAACAGCAGTATGGAAACCCTCAAGTGACCTTGTCATAGTGTAGCCAACCCAGGACGGACAACATCTTACTCAGGAGTCACCAGGCTGAGATGTCTCAGGTGCTGCCCCTGCTGGATTTCTTACCTTTCTACTTGGAAATCCAGAGACACATCCTCCAAACATTGAAGGAAAAGCTCTGCAAACACCTATGAGTCTGTTCTCTGTTTTCTCAGGCATATTTCCTAAACCAGCGATAAAGTCATTCTCTGTGACTCGACATGCAGCATTGAATTTGTTTAAAATCTGGAGTGAAGTCTCATTATTCACCTGTTGACAGGTTCTTATGCTTTGTAGCCCCCTTTTCTGATGGTAGACATCGTACACAAGTGACAATAGAGGTCTTGCACACATCTTTGGGGGATTCCTCCCTGTCCAGGGAGGAATGGACTCACCCTCACAGCTGTCGGTGCATTGGATGTGTGTGCAGGTCCCAACCGAGCCTTTGAAAACTACCCAGAAGCCCAGTGTGTGTCATTTGCACACCCCTTGCCGTATCCTTTTTGTCTCCTCCCTTATCACATGGGTGCTTCAATTTCTTACACAAGTCATGAATTTTTATTCTTCTGATGAACCTTTCAGAGTCAGGAATTTCTCTAGGTTTAAAGCTGCATCTCATTGACTTGGATGCAAGTAGTTGCTGGGCTACAGTCTTCCTGAATGTCAACTGGAGAGGCTTCAGTTCCCCTTGCTCACTGCATAGTGGGACCTGGATGACCTCCCTAGTCTCCCCCTACCCTGGATCCTCCCGTGCCTTTCCCAGGGGTTGCTTTTTTCAGTGAAGTAGACTTTGCATTCCTTTTTCTTCAACCCCCTGATCATGATTTCTAAACATTTGTTTTCTTTCTGTTTTTAAAAGATTTTATTTATTTATTAGAGAGAGAGATAGCACAAGCAGGGGGAGGGGCAGAAGGAGAGGGAGAAGCACACTCCCCGCTGAGCAGGGAGCCTGATGTGGGACTCGATCCCAGGACCCCGGGATCATGACCTGAGCCAAAGGCGGACGCTTAATGGACTGAGCCGTCCAGGCGCCCTCTAAACATTTATTTTCACACTTGCTTCTCATAGTAAATTCTCAGTTAAGAACTGGGCTTCATCAGGTGATCCATTTAAAGCTGCTATAACCCATATCTACAACAGTTTATCTTAATCATAAAAGTCATTAAAATTAGGGAAAATCTAACAGAGGGAGAAGGATTTATATAGAGAAAAAGGAGGTGAAAGAATTGAACCAATAATTGGAAAATGGACCATCTTCGCTACTGTGTGGCACACCTTCAAGCAAAGTGATGCTATTAAAACTGCACCATCGGCCCCCAAATTGAGCCACAAAGTTGATTCACTTGTAAAAATAGACCAAAAATGTTACTAAACCGTACTGTGATAGAGCCACAATTAGGGAGGTCAAATCAGCTTGCTGGTTCTAATTAAACTAATCATACAGTGGAATTTCCTGTACAGTTATGCCATAGGAAGAGGTCCATAGGAAATAAAATAGAGTAAACTCCATTTTACTTGGAAGCTAGAGAATCAGAATGCTAAATTTCTGTTCTGTTTCCATAGAAAGGCAGACAGGTATGAGAGACATTTGGAAGTTATTTATTTTTTAAATGACTTCCAAAATGATAGGATTAATGTGGTATAATTTAGCTTCACACACTCTGAGAAATTATTTGTAATTTTCAACAGCAAGAATTGATATTTCAAATGATTCCATTTAATGACTTTTTTTTTTTTAATACAACCTGCTGAGTTTTGGGCCTCCTATTTCTTTGGTAATTAATTTTATATTGTTTATGGTAACTATGTTTTTAATCAGAAAACACATTAACTATAGTACCTCATTCCTTGATTGTCCTTGATATAGGACGTGAAAATGTATATAGTTGGTTCTAGAAGCAAATGTAGAAAGTAATGGAACCTGCTTAAAAGGCTGTGTTCCCTTTGGGCAAGTCACTCTATTTCTCTGAAGAGTCTTTTTTCCCTTTTTATCATGCTCTGTATTTTGTTCACAAGACAGTTGTGAGAGCAACATGAGATGAGATATATGAAAGCTCATCACAAACATCACAGTGCTAACTGCCACCAAGGTAGTGATGTACTGTGTTCATTTACCACTTCCCATCAACTTTAGACTGAGCCTTGGCTAGGTGCTCGCCCTGTGAACCTGGCTGTAGGAGTCAGGGAACTTGGGAGCGTGTCATGGTGGTGCTGCCGACAGTTTTTTCTTTGGCCTTGGGTTCCTCGGCTGTAGAGTGCCCCTGGGGCTGGGTGATACGCAGGAGCCTTTCTAGGACTAATAGTCCATGCAGAGCTGTATAATCTGTGGTCCTTATCTTAGAAGCTTCTAAAAGTACAGACATTTCTCTCCTGCTACATAATCTGATTGTGAAGTGGAGTCAGGATGGGAATGATCTTGGTTGGGCTTGTTAAGCAGCGTTCCCACTCAGGGCAGTAGGACTGGATAAACTGTTGGTAAGTAAGGCTTTCCTCCAGCCCTGAAGCTTCCGACTTCCTCACGGAGTCCATATTGCCTCTAGTTTCTGGTATTTGCTGCCATCTGCTGGCCACTTCCTTAAAAGCAGCTAAAAACTGGGGAATTGCGAGACCTGGGTGCGAGGGACCAGGGCAAGTACAGAGTCGCTAATAAACATCTGCCAAAAGGGTGCTTGCACCAGGGACAAGATCCGTGTGTGCTGTGGGCTGTTAGGGAGGAAGTAATGGACGTTTATTCACCTCAGTTAGCATGTACCTCTGCTTTGACAGTCATGAGGCACCCCATTGGCCAAGGTTCTAACACTAATGTTTTCTTCTGGGGTATGTTTACTGTTTCAGCTCTCTGAGTCTTCCTCATCATGTTCCTCTATCCATTCCATGGACACAACTTCCTCAGGGATGTCGTCCTTAATGAACCCCCTCTCTTCCCCTCCATCCTGCAACAACAACCCTAAAATCCACAAGCGCTCCGTCTCTGTGACATCCATTACCTCGACAGTGCTGCCTCCTGTTTACAACCAACAGAATGAAGACACCTGCATAATCCGCATCAGTGTCGAGGACAACAACGGGAACATGTACAAGAGCATCATGGTAAGGCACTCGGACCCACACCCGAATCCTTATGCATTCGCCCGGAATGAATACACACCCAAGCTCCCTGGGTAGACGCCAGTAATGGATTTATATATATTAAAAAAAAAATCTTCATACCAGCAGTGCCCATAAGATACAATTTTCACATCTTAAAATTTGCTAAAACTTACTCATCCTGGTCAGTGTTGCTTTTTTCAAAACGATCAATTTGAATGAGTGTAGAAATGTATTCCAGGGAAGATGCCACTCCTGCATCTGAAGTCTTCCTGGGGTATCCCATGTCTGCGTTTATCATGAATTCCCATGCATTCTCAGCAGTCAACTCCGTACTCCCACATTTTTCTCCTTTCGTCATTTGGACTCAAACTTAGTAAGGTGAATGATCGAACTGGAAGTGTGGTTTGAGTCCACAAGACTGACCTTTTTGCACTTCTTGTAAAAACCGTGTTTGTGACACAGTCTCAAAAATGTTTGGATTAATGGCAAGCTTTTTGGAGTGCATTCAGAGCCTCTCCTGGTAGTAACCTTGGGGGTATCGTCACAGGAAGAGACTCCTTTGTTTATAGGACATGTCACGTGTTAAAGAACAGGTTCTCATTGGCAGCGAATACCACAGCTAATTCTCTATCTTCCCTCACTTTCATCACTCGCCTTCTTGGGGGACGCACTGAGAGCTTATAAGCTCAGCTCTGAATATGACATAAGTAATATGGAGGCACTCACTGTCCTCTCACATTCCAAAGGGAAGCTTTCCTATGTCATTCATCAAATCAACAAAATATTTCTTGAACATTAGTTGTGTGCGAGTCACTGGGCCAGGCTCTGTGGTTGGGGAGATGAGGGGGCATTTCTGTCTTTGAGGAGCTTAACAATCAAAAGGGAGACCATGAAGCATTATTGAAAATGTACTGAATTCTCTAGTAGAAGTCAGACCAGATTGTAAAGGGCCTGCAGCCCTCATGAAGGGGTTTATGTCCTACAGGCAATAGCGTCTCGTTGAAGGCTTTTAAGTTGTCATCAGATTTGTTCACTGGAAAAAGTAGCTGACATTGTGGAGATGGTGCTGGGGTGTGGGGGTAGACTGAAAGTGAGGAAGCGAGATAAGCTGTTATCATAGTCCTTGTGGAGGATGATAAGGGCTTGAATGACAGTCATGTGGCTGGAGACAAGACAGATTTTTGAAAGATTTTTGTGAGGTATAACTGTAGAATCCATTAGTTTAGTCATCAACTTCATGTTACTGTGATGGGGGATGAGGAAGAGGGAAAACTGAAGGCTGTCCAGGCCAGCTTGGTGGTTGGTGGTCCTATTAAGTGAGGTATGAACTACTGGAAAAGGGGGGTTTGAGGGTGCTGAAATTGGAGGGACCGGTGGGACATTGTCTAATAGATGGGCAGAAGCCCCGTTGGTGCCAGGCTGGTTCCGGGGTTAAATACTGGGAGGGAGTCATCTGGCCCATTGGGTGGACAGGGCCACACAGGGAGCAAGAGAGAGGTGGGAGAAGCACCGGGAACCCGTGTCATCGATGTTATTACTGTGTTCTCCATGGGGCTTCCTCACATGGCTTCTCTTACATGTGCCGACCAGAGAAGCAAGTCCCACGTCTGACACGTGCAACTCTGGGGATGGAGCTCTAGAACACCATGTGGAGCTAAAGAACCCAGACAAAGTATTACATGCCGCAGGCATCTTTCCTTTCAAAAACAGGCCAAACTAACCTGTGGGATTAGAAGTGAAGCTCAGGGAAGAGGCACAGGGAATTCCTTGCCTTCTGTATTTAAGGTCCATGAAGGTGATACCCCAGCGTCACTCGATACTGCACCATCCGTACGGTAGCCACTAGCCACGTGTGGCACTTGAGCATTTAAAGTGGGAATAGTCCAAATTGAGATGTGCCCTGAGTGTAAAATATACACCAGATTTTGAAGACTTAGTACAAAAGAAAGAAAGAATTTCTCATTGGCAATTTTTGTCTGGATTATATGCTGAAATAATAGTTTGGATGTATGGGATTAAATAAAATATATTATTAAAATTGATTTCCCTTCTAAAAATACTTTTTTAATATGGCTCAGGCCACACTCATCTATAGTGTTAGAAAACTAACAACAAACCTTCATATAGACACTTACAATTAGAAACGAGGCTTTCCTTATGTCTGCCTACTGGGCGGTGCTGGTTCCGTATGTGAGCTGTTGATGCTAATTGTGATCCTCCACTGCACTGTCCCTTCGATGGGACAGAGGAATAAACACCCCAAGAAAGCCCTTGGCCATATCCCACCTCGATTGGACACACCTGGGGAAGCTTAAGGTCAAGAAAATAAGGGTTGCCTGGCTTTCTCCGTAGGTAAGTTTAAAGTTGACAACTTAGCCTAACATGAGTCACCTCAGCCCGACAGACATCCCCGGAGTGGGATCCTTTCTCTTTAGCTTCATGCTTCCGGTCCACTTTGATCCGGCTGTGGGAGTATTTTCTTTAGACTCTCAAAACACATATTTCCTCTTTCCGAATTTTGTGTGCATCTGTTTCTCCCTTGGAAATGAATACGCCAGATGTTTAGGTAATAGACAAATGAACAAGGTCTTGGTTGCTTACAAGGACCCCATTGTAATGCATGTTGTTTACTGAATCACAAACCCCAACTGCTGCTCCAGACCAAAGGGAGACATCTAGGCCCTGTCACCTTCGGGCCCTCGAGGACAGTTTCTTGGAGGCCGTTCTTCCTTTTCCTCCTTCCTCTGTCTTCTTATCCCCTGATGAGAACAATAATCTGTGTTTTCTTTTGCATTCTTTCTAATGTAAAGAAATCAGAGATGGCCTAAAAGTCAGCCTTCTTTTCCCCTTGCCCTGAGCGTCCTCCAAATAGTTGGCTGATGTGCAGGGTTCAAGAGGAGAAAGTCAGGATTGGAGGTGAGGAGGGCCTTTACTTGCACTAATAAAATGTTAGATTTATTCTTTTTAAACATTTAGAAGCTGATTTTTATTGAAGCCTAATTTACATACATTACATACACAGATCTTAAGTGGTTAGTTCTATTATATCTGTATAACTCTCACCCCAAATCTAATAAAGAACATTTTTCATCCCCCCTCAAAATTCCCTGTGCCCCTTCCAATCAGTTCCCCCCCTTAATCTTAATGAAGGTTAAGGTTTGCTGTTAGTTTTCTAACACTATAGATGAGTGTGGCCTGTTTTTCAAAGAATAGACTCCTGCAGCATGTAATCTTTTGGGTCTTTTTTTTTTTTGCTCAACATGATGCTTTTGAGATCCATCCACGTTGTTGCATATGTCAGTTCTTAGTTTATAATGGCTAAGTTGTATTCTATCAGGAATGTAGTATAGTCTCTTTGTCCATTCCCCTGTTCTCCCCTGTTGAGGGAGATTTGGATTGATTCCAGTTTGGGGCTGTTATGAACGAATCTGCTGTGAACATTTCTGTAGTAGAAGTCCTTTTGTGGACACGGGTTTTCATTTCTCTTGGTAAATACCTATGAGTGAGATTGCTGGGTCATGGAGTCCCTTGTGCTTTTTGAAATGGTCAGTGTGCAGAACTGTGACCATTTCTAACCCACAGGTTGTGACCAGTGCTCAACAGGTAAGGCTAATTTTGGCCCAGGACCAAAATCCTATGCATTTCTCACCATACCCTCCTCTTTTTCCCCCACACTGGAACCTCAACCCATGTGGAGGACATAGGCAAGGCACACGTTCTATTTTACTAAGAGAAGACACTTGATCTGAGAGAGTAGGTAGCCCGCCATCATTTGGCTACTAAGGGTGGAACCAGAACTAGAACCCAGGAGTTCTGGCTCCTGGTCCTGTTCTCATTCCACTGGGCCATTACTCCCAAGAAGGCACAAGGCAGCAAAAATAGGAGGGTTGAGAGAACTCTTTCAGGAAACATGAGGTGAACTACTTAGAGACCCATCCGTTGTCTTTCCAGTTGACAAGCCAGGACAAAACCCCTGCCGTGATCCAGAGGGCAATGCTGAAGCACAATCTGGACTCAGACCCAGCCGAGGAGTATGAGCTGGTGCAGGTCATCTCGGAGGGCAAAGGTGGGTACGTGCCGCTTCTCGTGGCAGGTTACCCTGGTTTTAGAAGTTAGAAAATGAACGCAATGTCTTTGTGGGTTTTTTTTTTTTTAAGATTCTATTTATTTATTTGAGAGAGAGAGCACAAGGGAGGGGCAGAGGGAGAGGGAGAAGCAGGCTCCCCGCTGAGCAGGGAGCCTGATGTGGGGCTCGATCCCAGGACCCTGGGACCATGACCTGAGCCGAAGGCAGACGCTTAACCAACTGAGCCACCCAGGCGTCCCTTTTTGTGTTTTTTGGTTTTTTTATGGAACCAAGTAGGGGTTTTTAATTGTGCAAGAGTGGTGTTGTGTGGGGGACCCATGCCATCACCTCACTTGTAGAATGAAGCATCTCAAGCTACCCCCGCCACAACCCTCTTTTTTCTACAGTTTTGCTGAGCACCCTCCTGCCCATTCTGGGTAAACTGTGTATCAAGCATTCTTCTAGGAAGAGGTCTCTCCCTGTGTCAGAAGGTCGGGGGGAGGTGGTTCTATTGGGTCTTTGCAGATGGCCTCACACCTTCTTTACCCAATAATGCATGTCTAAGTTGTATGTGCATCTGAAACATAGCGGTCCTTGTAATAATTTCTCATTTTTTCAGGGAATCATGTGCGAGAGGCTTCTAGGTTCATCTTTCAGTTTATCTTTATTCGTGATTGATCTTCAAGTAGCAAAAGCTTCTAACTCCAGAATCTGAAGACTCTTTTTTTTTTTTAAAGATTTTATTTATTTATTTGAGCGAGAGAGAGGCAGAGGGAGAGGGAGAAGCAGGCTCCCCGCTGATCAGGGAGAGCCACCCAGGTGCTCCTAGAATCTGAAGACTCTTTACCTCACAATTACTGAGGCAAAGAACTGGTGATTGTACTTCAGGATGCCTAGGAACCCACTCTTCACAGAAATTCCTTTTATGAAAACACTGGGAAAATACCCGAAATGTATCTATATTTTGCTGGTTTGAATTGGGATTGTATTTGTTGAGAGGAGGAGACAGGCTGGTAGGTGACTTCTCTGGACCCTGTCACATCACAGAAACTCAGTCACACTAAGTCTCTTTCCAAGGACAATTGTTGACTGAGGCCAACCCTATCTGCCGACAGACCCAACACTAACCGATTCAAGCATCTTAATAGGGCTATTCACCAACAAGCAGCCACCCTATCACGAAAAGAAGGATTACATAAGTTGGGGATATGGGAAGGGAGCAGCTATTCACACTCCATTTGGCCAACAGATCCCCAGGGCTGTAACTTGGGCCCAGAGAAGAGTGGCTGTATCTTTTCCTAGAGACGAAAAGCTGTAGCCCCTGAGGAAATTATTTTTCAATTACCTCTTGGGAGTTTGCTCATTCATTCAGCTGAGCCCTCGGTTGAGGGGCAAACCGCTGTCAGTTATATCTTTTATTGTCGTTACAGTTAAAATTCTAGGCCTAAAGTGTAGTCTCTTGAGTTTGACCATGTTGCCCACAAAACAACGCTAAGGTGAGGCCGGTGATTCTGAAGAACCAGGAGCCCCGAGGTGTAGTCTGGGCCCAGCTTTCTTCACCACTTGGGTGGTCTTAGGTGGGCTGCTTGACCTCCTCGGGCCTTGGGCCTCAGTGAAAAGGAGGCAGTACCCTACTAGAGCTTAGCATACTCTGGAGGTATGCTAAGTGACATTTAGCTGTGAGGTGAATTACTTACTTACTTACTTACTTATTACTTACCCGGGAATATGTGGGCAGGAGATTGGGCACACTTTGAGGGAGTTATTCTTTGTGGAACATTTGTGCAAAATGTACTAGAGTCACTGAGAACCTGATTGCATCAGTCCTGCCATAGAATGTCCGTGTTTGAAGTTAACATCAGCCTCACTGAACCTGCAAGCAGATGCCTCTGCTGCTGGCCCCCCCACTCCACTGTCACCGATGTAGACTTGCCCATCTCCCCTCTTTTATCCCCTGTTTGGTTTCCTTAGATACCCATTACCCCTGAGGGCTAAGTAGTATATACCTTCTTTTAAAAATGTAAAAATGAATTAAAATAACTTTGCCTGATGATTTCATCTTATACTTGGCATTGTCCTTGTTCAGAAATTGTGGCTATCTCGTTGGGAATCACTGAAGTAGATACACTTTAAATGTTAACAGATATACACATTCTTATTTGGATGGTGTTCAGTATTAAACTGGTTTGATTTGGGATTACTTCAAAAAATATTTCAATATTCCAAGTAGAAAGTTCTGGAAAAACCTGTAGATTTTTCTTTTCTCCTCCATGTCACTGGAGTCTCTCAGTATCTAAGAAAGGCTGCATGCTGGAGTAGCAAGTGGGCCGTGGGAGGAAGGACACCTGGGTTGGAGTCCCGGTTCTGCCATTGCCTGGCTGCGATGCTGGGAGTGTCATTTCATGTCGCTTGGCCTTTGTTTTCCGCTGCACTTTCTTCTAGCTAGAATAGTCTGCAGTTGAACATTTAGTTCATGGGTCAAATTTCTAAGGTCGTATTTGCCCTTCATTTTTTAAAATTGGGATTGAGGAGTCGAGCGAGCCAGCTTTGGGGGTGGTAGTCATTGCCTGGTTCCGTTCACATCCCAGGGACACGGGACCAGAGTCCCTGCCTTGTGGTTGGGCAAAATCTCCACCTGCCACGGTCAGTGCTGGGCTGACCTGCACCAGCTGACTGCCTTCTCTTTCCTGATCTCTTTTAGAACTCGTGATCCCGGACTCGGCCAACGTCTTTTATGCCATGAACAGCCAAGTGAACTTTGACTTCATTTTGCGCAAAAAGAACTCCATGGAAGAACAAGTGAAATTGCGTAGCCGGACCAGCTTGACACTGCCCAGGACAGCTAAACGGGGCTGCTGGAACAACAGGCACAGCAAAATCACCCTCTGAACAGAGGGACCGGTGGCCCCTCACTAGCCAAACGCAGAGCGGGGCTGAGAGCAGGCCGTGGTGATTGCAACGACCATCCAGTGTTAGAGGATCATTGGTGAAGTCAACAGATACTTACTGAGTACCTATGGTGTGCAAGGCACCAAGATAGGCATTGTGGGAAAATCGGGGGTGAGTTTGACAAGGAATGGATGAATGTTTCACTGATTCTCTTTGACCTATCTGAGACTGAAATGCAAAATTATCCACTTTTATAAATATATATATATGTATACACATGTTAGGGATGTATGTGTATATATATATAAATATATGAGGGACTTATGGGATATTCTGGACTATGGAAAAAGGAATTTGCACAATGGCCTGGGATGTTGAGGTCACTTTTTACAGGGAAATAAAAAGAACTGAAAACCGAGTCTCCTACCTTCCAAATAAATGGAATCAATCCTAGGAATACAGAGTGTCCTTTGTGCCAGTATTATAAGAAGTCCAACCACGTTTATAAAGGGGAAGAATTCCCTTCTCCATCAAGTGCCACCAGAACACCTGCGCTGCAGAGGCCGGAACGGCCACGGCTGAATGAAAGGCCACTTCCGAAAGGGTTTGGATGAGCCAGTGGGCTTTCGACCTCTGCCCGCATCTGCCACTTTCTGCGACCCCAGGGAGGGAGGGCGACGAGGAGCTTCGGAGGCCCATCTGACCCGCCGGTCCAGCCATCGTGACACCTCTGGAGTCAACACAAGCCCATTTTGATTTCTGGCATTGTGTTTCTGTTCCCCCGGCCCCCGCAACGAACAGACCACAATCATTATGGCGCAAGTAGCCACGCTCTTTGGTAGCTTCTCAGCCGGAAAAGAAAGCACAAAAGAATGGTGACTCGTTTGGACTCTTAGCTGTCTCGGAATGCCACTACTTCGTTGCCATTTCTGATCGCCGCCTTTTGCATGTAAAACTGTATGTCTGGAGTCTGTTGCCATCTGGATCCTAGTACCTTTCTGTTACGTGCAATTTGTTCCTCAGGTGTAGAAATTCCTACTGCAATGGACTCTGTTGGATCATTTTGAGCCTGTGAAAGCTTTCTGAACAGCGAGCGCTCTGTCAGTAGCCCCTTGGAAGATGTTTCCTGCTCATAGCAGCGTCCTGTTTTACTTACTAACTTCTATAGCATTACTGTGCCTAGTCACGGGGAAAGAAATGGGGCTACGTATATCATCTAAATCTTTTCTAATGAGGTACATTTCTTCCAGATGGAATCAATAACATTTTTTTTTTCAGGTCCCCACACTTGCTGTCACAGTGTTACTGTTAAATGACATTTTTGTCTCTAGGAACACCATCACCCTCTCCCTTCCAAATCTGAGCTGTGCTGGGGTTTGAACTAAAAAGCCATAATGTGGGATATCGACATGTGTAAGAAGCACTTTCAGAATGTCCTTTTTAAGAAAAAAAAATTCTCAAAATACCAGTTTTTATTCCAAAAATAAAAAGAACCAACCCAGATACGAAGTATAGATTGTAACATGAAGCTTTTTTTCTTCCTTTTTCCTAATCCTGTTAAGACAGCTCCCCAAGGTTATGTGAGATTTATGTCATGTAAATAGCCATATGAAATCTGCAAGAAACACCAGGGAAAGTTTAGAGATGTGTGGCAGTGGACCAAAGAATGAGCCAGGAAGGCCTCGCATTTCCTTTAGGTCTTTCTAGGAGGTCAGACGGTGCATTAGAAGACGGACTGGGTTTCAGCTGGTCAAAAAGCACTTTCTTCAGTTTGCAAGGCTCGTCCGATTTGTACTTTTGTGCTTGGAGGAGAGATGGCCAGGGTGCTAGACATCATGGAGATTGAAGTAAATGTATCCTCAGCCTGAATTTCTTGGTTTGCGGGTCGCAAAATATAGGACCCTTGGCCTGGTTTAGGGTGTGGCTGCAAAGACCTAGGTGTTGCGCCTATGTGCTCGCCCTGTGTATTGTACTGTATATGTAGAGTCTAGATTTATATACTGCAATGTAAAAAATATATATATATATATATTTTCCTTTTTTAAAGACAGTGGAAATTCCACGTAGATAAAACATAGCCTCATTTATTTAATGCCACTTTCAATGTCTTAAATTTGTTTCCTGGTGGACAGCTGGGTAATGCTTTTAGCTGCTGGCATGCTTGTCTTTCTGCATCTCCATCATCTGTTTACCTTTTGGTTAAACTAATAAACTGGTTTGGGACTTGGTTGGCATGTGCTGCCGGACCCAAAGGGATTGTATCTGGAGTATTCATCAGGTGCGTTCTGAGTTCGTATCTGGAGTATTCATGGGGTGGTTCTGGGATCCAGATGTGTCCGTAAGCTTGCCGCAAGCCCACTATGGCTCGGGGGGAGCAGAGGGACAGCCAGTGGAGTTAGGAGGTGGTCCTCTCCACTGGTGATGTCACGAGCATTTGGGGGAGAGAGTGACATCCGTAGGAAACTGCAATCCGGTATGATGCCTTGCCAGATTGCCGTGCTTAGGAGTCATGTGGTGGGAGACACTTAAAGAAAAACCTGAACTTAGGATCCAAGGTAGTACTTTGCCTCCTTTCCGACAGCCTTTTCCCTGGTCTGCAATTGCTACCATCTGTGTAATTCTTGAAACCATTCGTGGTGCTCTAGGAGCCAGGAGAGCCTCTATGAAGGGAGGAAAGAAGTTTTCCCAGAAGACAATCAGAACCAGTCCAACTTCCCTCAACAGAGGCGCATTATTGTCCTTTCTTCATATTTCCAAAGAGTTTACAGAATTACTGTCCACTGGATTCTTAAATGGATCCAAATCCTCAAATTTTCTGGACCCTTGTGGGATTTTGGAGAGAGCCAACTAGGTGTTTCAATCATTGATAATATGGGGTGGGACCAGAAAAAGAAACGGGATTTCTATCTCTGGCACTAGGTGACTATTTTTTTAAGATCATTCTAGAAAACTGGTCCCCTTGTTTTGCCTCTGTCTAGAAGCTGGGCTTGGTTACTTTCTGCCCAAAGACATAGTGTCTTAAAACTTCCTTCTTTGGAGCCTTTTCAAATCCATTACGCAGCACAAGACCATGAGGAGGCAGACGGTGTTGCTCCATCCCTGATACCTGTGGCATCAAGAAGCTTCCCTGATGCCAATCCTCTTGTTCTACAGATGCTCCTGCAGTGGCACTGGTTGCAGCAGGTACCCCTAGTTCCACGATGAGAAGTTACTTCCATCGTGCTTTGCACTGCTGTTTCCCCTAGAATCTGAAAACAAAATACTTCTGGAAGAGGGGATGGGTTAGGCTAGGTTTGGTTGAGCTGAAGTAAAAAACCATGAAACCTCAGTAACTTAACGACAATTTTATGCTTCATCCCGTCATGGTATAATGCCAATCGGGCAGCTCTCCGTAGGGACTGTGCCGTCACAGTGGCTCCAGGAGCCGGGCAGCATCCATTTTGCCACTCTTCCATCTCTTTCATCTGAGATGAAATAGAAGCCAGGCAAATTTAATTCTTGTAGGCTCAGATTTTGAAATCCAGGATTTGGTGTGGTTTCTCAGCATCCCTACCCAGAAAACTGAGGAAGCAATTCACTTATCTAACAGTTTGAGGAATCCAGTGAATTTCACATTTCCTTAAGAGTTGGAAGCCATCTTATAAATTGCAGTCAATCCCCTCAGACTACAGATATGGGGGCTGAGGCCCAGAGCAGTCAAGTCAGTCGCCCAAGGTTAGGGGGCAAAGCTCTGAATTATCAGAACCCCACCGTGTGCATGTCACACTGGGCTGGGCACCGAATCCAGGAGGCTCTCTTGACAGATACTCCTTCACAGTCTCATAGAACGGAAGAGAATGCGTGGAGTGTGAGTCTGTTGGCTCCATTCCCAGCCTTCTGAGGATGAGAATTCACACAAGCTGTCTTGGTTCGATGGGCATCTGGTTGTTTCTTTAAAGTCTCCAAGGAACGTCCTGCGGCTGCTCAGAGCACTGCTACCTGTTTTCCTGGGCGTTATTCCATCTCAGCTGAGGAAGCAAAGCCGTAAGGATCAGGAGGACATTGAGACTTTGATCCCCAGCTAGGACTGGAATCCGTTGCTGATCCGTGAACTTGCGCCGCACCCCCCCCCCACAACTGGGGGATGGGGTGGGTGCAGGGGAAGAGTCTTCTGCAAAAAGCGCCAACTGGATGAGGAGTTAAAGGAGGAGTGGTTGTGACCAGGGCTTGGGTGCCATCCAGGAGCACTGGAACTGGGCTCAGCCTCTCTGTAAGCCAGTTATCAGTACCCAAGTCCTTTATCTTAGGCTTCTCAGAAACAATCATTTTTATTCCCACCATTGTTTAATCCCAAAGCAACAGTTTCTGGTACAGTTCCAATTTCTTACACAAAGGGTACCAGTAAATCAAATTTTTTAAAAAAGTGAATAAACTTCTGGATTGCTGCAGCCATTTAAAAAAAAAATCAAGACACCATTTTCAAAATGGGAGAAGCATTCTAAATGAGACCGTTAGCTCACCCCCAGACATATATTTGTGATCCTCGTTTATACAATATCTGACACACCAGCCTCCAGCAACATGTCATCAAGGAATCAAGTTTGATCAGCTTATAATCAATATGTGAGATTTTATGGATCTGGGGTTGGTCCTGCCGAGCCATTGTGTATTGGGCTCTGTGTGAGAGAGAGAGACAGAGATGGAAACGTTAGTGAGGAAAGAAGCAGGTCGCTTGGGTGACGCCAGCTGAACTGCACCCACCCAAAGCCGTTCTCCCATCTGCCCACAAAAAGGGTGGAAAGAACGAAGAATTGCCTCTGAGCATTGGTTTTGTCTTTATTTTTAATTTGCTGGGTTTATTTTTATGTCCCTCCCTGTAGTTTCTTCAGCTTGGCTGCCTCTGGAATGGGCGTTTTCATAAAATCTCACGTTGGAGCAATTCTGGGGCCAGCTTCACGCCCCCGCTGGTCCAGAGGGGGGGCTCCCCTGCTGTTTCCCAACCTAGGGGAGACTGGACAGACATCTGGGCTCTTGCTCGGGGGGGGGGACTTGATTTTCAGAGTGTAGTGCATAGCACCCTCTCTCTGGTCTTCAGAGAAGCTTAGAAAATAATCGACGACAACGTGTCCTCTCCCAAAGTACAACCGGCAGTTTAGAGAAGCCCCCACCGTGCCCCTGGCAGGAGTTGAGATGTCTGAATGTTGATGGTGTGATCTGCAGGGTCTTAGTTGCTTTGGAAACCACCAGCCCTGACTGTGAAGACTTGAAGGGGCTATTACTGTTCAGACTGGCCCCAGGGAGGAAGCCCTGTGCAGAGGGGAGTGTGTGTGTGTGTGTGTGGGGGGTGGCAGGGAATTTGAGGGCAGGGGGCAGAGGTGGCTTCCAGGCCATGGCACACAGAGCCCAGGAGAGAGGTGCGAGGACAGGGGAGCAAAAGACAAGTTCAGGCCCTGCCGCAGAGGGAGTGAGGCCGGGGCACCTGCCAGGAGAAGTAGGGCGGGACCCGGAGGGGAAAGTCATACAGGAGAGGGTTCGAGTGGACGTGGCAGCACCCGGTGCTCACAGCAACCGAGGATTTGCTGAGCTGAAGGGCCTGCCGAGGAACCAGAGGAAAAGGCCGGAGGCCCGTTGCCCCCCCCCCCCGCCCCCGTGCCTGTGGAACAGCAGCACCTCCTTGTGCGTGGAAATCGTCCCTGACCAGGGCCGTGGGCCCGGAGGGCCCCTTCCCCAGGGGAGCACAGAGGAGGGCGGACGCAGGAGCAGGGAGCGGGCCTCCTGGTGAGAGAAGTGTCCCCCAACCGCAGAAGGAATCCGGTAGGCCCTCACGGGAGCCCCCGCCCGCTCTGTGTGGCGGCCCAGCTCTTTCCCGGGAGGGACCCTCAGCTCAGACAGGGCGGCTTCACACCAGCGGGTCGCTCCCACGGGAGCGCGCAGCCGCCAGGGGGCCACCATCATGGCCGCCGGCCCCGCCGGCCCCCACGAGCTGCCCGCAGTCAGCCTCTCCCCAGACCAGCCGCGGGCGAGGCTTTTCCACGGTGCCTTCACACCCTGGGGGTGTGACAAAGTGTGCTTTCTCTCTTTTCCAACCAGCCAGAGAGGACTTCCGGGCCACCACGCGTCAGACTCTTCAGCTTGGTCTCACTGCCCGGCGCAGACCCGAGGCCGCCATCAGCCTGCGCACAGACCCCCTCACAGGCCACGGCCCTCTCCTGGCCCTCCTCCCTCTGCCACATTTAATCCGAACGCCCTGGAGGGAAGGTTCTCTCTAAAATAATAAACCTCACCCCAAAACATACAACATGGGCATAATGATTCTCTCCAAAGCTGCCTATTCTTTGTTTCCCGTCACCCATGACTACTTTCTTATGGAATGACCAGCCTCATTTTGACTTGCACCTTGTCGTTAGTTAACTCCTCAATGAATTGATCTCTTGTCCATCGTGGATATCACTTTTTTTTTTTTTTGAAGTTGGCTCTATGCCCAGCACAGGGCCCAACGTGGGGCTCGAATTCACAACCCTGAGATCAAGAACTGAGCCGAGATCAAGAGTTGGGTGCTCGACCACCGACGGAGCCACCCAGGCACTCCATTCATGGATATCACTTCTGGATCATTTCTCTACTACTCCGTTTACTTGGGGAGAATGTCTCAAAGGCACATTGTAGGAACCTCTTGGGAAAACTCACCTTTATTTTACACTTTATTTCACTGTAAGGGAAAGGATCCCCAAGTCTGTAGCTGGAAGGGAACTTCTCTTGTTTTAGGCACCAGCGTTTTCCTGGAAACCTCGGCACTGTTTGTCAGGAAAGCAACCAAACCTAGAATTCCCCCAGAAACAATGGCCTCTGTGTTCATAACAGATGATAACCCCGGGAGGGAGGGTAGCTGACATACCTTGCCATCGTGATCGGGTCTCAACTTGTTTCCTGTCACCTACCCCAACACATCCCTGACTTCTCAGAACCTCCAGTCCCCCATCGCTCCCCAGCAGGCCCCTTCCTAGCCCCACACCTTCGCAGTGCCTAGAAAGCATCACCACCCACCAGACCCAACCCTCCTCTCTAAATGCCCATTCACGCCCCCACAGCCAACACAACTGTCACCTTCCTGGCCACCTTCCCAGCAAAGCTGCCCCAACAGTGTTCCTGGGCAGAAGCGGGTTCTCTGAGGTCCTACAATTTTGTTCCTGCCTCTGAAATAAAGCCTTCCTGCTTGCATGGCTGCTCCACCGGCCTGTGGACCCCCCAGCAGTGGGGATCTTTCCTCATCCTTTGAGATTTTTGGTGCCCAGCACAGGGCCTGAAACAACGCTGTGCTCACACCTGGTTTGGGGGAAGCTTGATCTGAAATTTGAGGGGTCACAGAGGCCAACATGGATTCTCTCTCTTTTTTTTTTGCCCCAGGATCAAGTTCTTTGGCCTTGGGCAAGCTGGTATCTTTCGATGAATGGTTAGACTGACCTATAGCACAAAACTACAAGACCGGCCCTCCCTTACCACCCTCCCACTGGGGACTCCTATGTTTCTCCAGCCTAGAAAGTTTTTCCGCTTACCCACCTCTCCCCAGCAGTCTAAAACAACTCCCACCGAACAGGAAGGTCGGTGACCATCTTTTCTTGTCTGCCATGGGGCTGAGCAGCACTGATGGTCATCTCTGGCCTCTGACGTCCTTGGTCCAGTGCCAAGGTCCGGGAAGGTCCAGCAGCGTTGGCCATTGGTTAGTGTTGGCAGAACCAGTAAACAATCACAGTGTTGAGTTGTTTTTGTTTTTTTTTTTTAATTTTTCACAAAGAGCTCTAGAAGGCAAGTAGTTTATCATTTCCCCTCCCTGAAATGACACGGCATGATAGGCAATGTAGGATGCTGGGATGCCGGCTCTTTCTCGTCCTCCAGAGTTCCTGCAGGAGGGCCCAGGGAACACAAAGCAGGGCCGGGGAGTGTATCCTCTGCAAATCGTAGGTGCTCAGTCCACACTCAGCAGCACCAGCACTGCTGAAGTCAGGCACATCGTCCAGAAGATCCCACCTTGGATCCCGAGATCCAGAGAGGGATCCAGATCGGGATTCCAGACCACGTTTAACTTCCCGAGGCAAAGAGCAGGTGCCATGGCAGAGGCAAAGGCCTCTGACGCTGCAAAGGTCCAATGTCTTGACTTAAGACTGGAGGGGACGCAGGAAGAATAATGAGGTCAAGGAACCCTAGGATTGCTGAAGAGACGATTTTTTTAAAAACAAATGCAGGTGTGTGCAGAGCAAGATGTTCACAACGAAAGAGCACTGCTTGGGATCCCAGACCCGAGCAGGCGGAAGCAAAGGCTGGGCTAACAGAGCCAGAACTTTATTCACAGTAGAACAGTCCTAATCTAAAATTCTAGAATTTAAGACCAATATCTTTTAAGAATGAGAATTCATAAACCCATCAGACCAGCTGACAGCAAAAGGAAAACAAAAAGTTCTCTATTAAACAAAACCACGCAAAAGTCAACTCAATCTTTCCCCACTCCCAATCTCCCGACCACCTCCCACCCTATTAAAAAAATATATCGTGAAAGTCAGGCACACTGGCACGCACTCAAATATGCAAACAAAATACAAAATACCCAAGGAAACCTTAGGGATCACCCAAGAGTTTTTCACTAGCTCCCCAGATGCTCTTTCTGTTTTTCTAGAAAAAAAAATGAGTCAGGCTCTGACAGGTATGTCTAAGCAGTGAAGACGGAGGTCGGCTGAGATCCCCCTCCTCAGCCTCGTTGCTTACTAGTCAGTGTGGAAGAGTATCAACAATAAGTCAAGCAGGAAGGCTGAGGCTGGTGTTCTGTGGAAGGCGAGCTGCCTTGTTGTCCTGCAGCCTGGGGGCCCTCACCAGGGAGCACTGAGCTGGGTTCACGCAGCAACCCTGCCCATGGGCTCTGCCCCAAAGTGTGAAGCTCAGGGAGGAATGTGTGGGGAGGGTATTTCTGGAGGCAAAGTCTGACTGCTTGCAGGCAGGCGAACACAAACCTGAGGCAAACCATCATGAGATATCTGAGGAACACAGATTGTGGAATTGGCAGAGAATATGTAGCCCAACACTGCACTTTCCAGAAAATCACTCTGTGAGGAAAGCGGGGAGGTCATCTGCCCAGGGCGCTGACTCCGAGAGCTTCCCTGGATGTTGGCCTAAATCAGTGGATCAGTCCATTGTTTCTGACCAAGTCTGTCATCTGAAATGGAAAAGCATTGTGCTCGCTTCGGCAGCACGTATACTGAAATGGAAAAGCATTTGTTTCCAGATGGTGAGAATCTCCCACTCCATAGGCCTCCCTGCAAGAGCCAGGCTGGGAAATGCAGGAGAACCAGATTGCACACTCACTACTCCCCAGGGTGCTATGAAAGCTTGAAAAATCTGTTTCTCTGCCTTATCTTACATTTTCCCCACATTTTGTAGAATAAATAATTCAAAATAGAACGAAAAACCCAGGCAAGGACAGTTGCTGGCCTGAAAATGTGCTCTGCCTCTTAACAGTGACTCATAAAACTCACACTCCCAGTTCGTTCCCAGGCTCAGGCATGGAGGGGAGAGCGTGACGTGTCGCAGCAGCACAGAGCCCCCTGGGACACAAGTTAGACACCAGCCCGAACCCCTTTATATATTAAATTTATCTTCATAAATAGAGCATCCTAACTCAAGTGACCACAATACAAGGCCAAAGTCTGAGTTCTTTTTTTCCTCAAATATCTACACAAACCTTCAAATATCTACTAAACTCTACCCACATGGCAAACTTGACACCTCTTCAGGAGACCTTCAGTTGCCATGATCGTCAAAGGCCAAGTCTCAGACAGACCCCAACACTGGATCCCTATTGGATGACGAGGACTAAGATGAACAGGTCACTTTGGCTCCTGAGAGAATTCCTTTAAACCAAAGCCCAATTAATTTGCTTTTAAATGATTTGACCCCCCTCCCTCGCAAACTTGTTACATACACAAGTTTTCAAGGTCACACGAGACCAACGGATGTGGTCCAGTTGGCTCGACTGCCTTGCCTGCGCATTTATTGATGTGACTGCCTTTCTCAGGGATGAGTCTCTGGGCCATACTGTTCATCCTTAATGTAGGAAGCAGTATCACACGAATGAAGACTGAAGGGCTAGGTATCTGGATTGAAGTTTATCTCGATGGTTGCCATAAAGCCTATCTTCTAGCCATCTTAGGAAATTTAGGTTAAGTTTCCTTCTTATCCTCCCCTGTCAAGAATATATTAATTTTGCTCAATCACAGTAGGCCACTTTGGTTAGAGGACTGTGACCACTAGAAGAAGCTGGAGCAAACAGATGAATAGCCCGTTAGAAAAATCAAGGGTGGTGAATCCCCCACGGAGCCTTCATAGCTCATCCCTCGAAGGCACAGCGTCCAGGGAGGTTGGTGACGGCAGGGCCTCTGTGTTCTTGGCATTGCGGTGGATGTGACCTTGCTTCCGGGACTTCCAGGAATGGGTCCTGTCCCAGTCGGTGGCCACTGTCTCATTGTCCCAGATGGTCGAGGTCTCCGTGTCACTCAGATACCCCGGCTGGCCTGTGTAGTGTGTGGGGTAGATGAGCAAGGGTTCGGCGGAGAAGGCCTTCAGGTCCCTGGATTCATAATACTCCTTGTACTCAGCTCTGCAAACAAGAGGAGTGCAGGTGTGTGAGGGGGTAGCGCGTTTAGCGAACGGGGACCGGGGGTGGCGGGGGGGGCAGGGGAAGAGCAGAGGGGCCCTGCTGGTCATCTCTTACATTGCCATGGAGGCCTTTGATGATTTTTAAAGTTGTGTCCTTTGGGGAAAAGTTTAGTCTACATACACAATAACAGTTTCTTTACAAGCTTTCAGATGATCTAAACAAACACACAAGGAGAAAGGTCAGGATATTTCTGTTGTATTTGGTTGGACTTGTTTAAAACATGAATTTCAGGTCTTACTCTAAAAGCTGAGACTTAAGCTCTGTTGGACCATCACGAGAGAGCAATGTGATCACTTTGTGGAAGATGCCCTGTTCTTGGATGAATAAATTAGTTGAGATCTGAACAGCAGTGGTGGGATAAGTCACACTGTGTAGGCTTGGAGGCATGCCGGCTTGGCCCTGCATCCCAGCTCCCCGTGAGTGTAAAGGGGAGGACGACTCGCCCCGCCCCCCGGGGCTCCTGTGCAGATGACACGAGGTGACATCTGCTTGGCTCTGAGCTCACTCAGTGCACCGTGCCTGTTAGTTTCCTTTCTGTTACAGGGATGATGGTTGACCTCCATGTTCCTGCTAGGACACGGATATACAGTCAGCTCTATCAAAGAGGGTGAGGAGATCCATCCTTGCTGAGGACGGGAGACCAAATGAGCCAGATGCAGGACAGGAATTCTCAACCACTAAAATGAAGCCCAGCTAGTAAGGAGATCACCCAGCAACTGAGAGAAGGAGCTGAGGTTAGAATCTGGTCTCCTGCTCCATTAATGAATTTAGGACCCATTGACTGAGCAGCTATTATGGGTAGAGTTGGGACTAGGTTCTCAGGACACAGGGGGATGTGAGACTGTTCCTGCCTCAGTGGGCTCACAGGTTAGTGGGGAGACTGACTCGTAAACCACCCATCTCCATACCCTTCAAACAACGCTAGGTCAGAGTAAGCTCCTGCGTAAGGGGAACCCTGAGCATCACACTGCCTTCTTCCATAGATACCCTGCTCAGGGGCCACCTCCACCCTCCCCGAGCCTCTAACACACCTCTGTGGTTGCAGGTCTCACAGTACATCACGAGGACTGTTCGTGAGTCTGAATTCCCGACCAGACCGTAAGCTCTGCAGGGAGGGGGGACCCCTGCCTGCCCAACAAGTACACACAGTGGACTGAGAAATGAACTGAATGAACACTTGAAGGTGCTCAGGAAGATGACCTTCACCTTCAGGTGTATGAGTTTTTGGAAATAAGAAGAACAAAACAAGGAGAGGACCGAGCATATTATGTCCAGGTAAACTACACACGGGGTATTACAGAAGGCTGCCACGCAAGACTCGCCCTTTCAGCCTCGGCTTCCCCATCTGTACAAGGGGATAGTCACTCCAGCCAGCCTCTCTGAGTTGTGATTATGGAAAGATCATTTAGGAAAGCAGGGCATGCTTTAGAAAATACCACGCAGTACCGAGAATCTGAGGAGCACGATATATGAGCGGGGTGAGCCCTCAAAGGGCAGGCAGTGTGGGGAGACTCACACAGGATGCTTGTTGTACATGATGGGCAGGAACTCATCCACTGGCAGCATCTTCCCAAAGGGATCGGCTCCAACCAGCTTCTGTGCTCCTTCCAGAGAGATGACATAGCCCAGCGTCCAATAGGAGTAGTCAGCTTCGACCAGATTTCCCACATTGGGTACCGCTTTCTCGGGCTCTTTCACCTGCATCCTCTTCCTGCCAATATAACTAGAAGGAAGCGGATGGAGGAGCAAAATTCCAATTTGAATATTAGACATCCGGAAGAACACAGCACAGGTTTGTGGATACTTTTGAACGCTGGGACCAACTGTGTCTTACATCAAAAGTATCACCACAACGTGCGTCCCATCCCCAGCGATGACTGGCACCTGCCATGAGGGGAGCCATTTTCCTGGCTCCATCTACCAACATCCCAACTGCTCTTGCCTAGCACTGTGCTCCAGCCCGGAAGTTAAACTCTAGAGAGACTAAAAGATCCCTCCGATCATTTCCCAAAGACGGTATGTGTTTACAGAGGTTGGAAGTGGACAAAAAGAGCTCAGAGGTGAGATCCCTAGAGTTTCAGCCTTCGATGGTCTCCGGATAGCTCTCCAGATGCTGACGGTAAACACAGGACAGAAAACACTGTGGGGAAGACACAGTCTACAGTCAAAGACCCGGGAACCCCAGTGGCCCCAAGTGGGTCCTTCCTGGGAAGAGTGAGTGACAAAGCCTGCCTGGCTTTCTCTTCCTCACATGCACCTAGCTCCGCCCTCATTTTGCTCTGAGAAAAGCACCTGGCCTTCTCAAGCGCTTCCGCAACAGCCATTCCAGCTTCCCCACAGTCTACTCACAGACCTGTGATCCGTCACTTTTGTCTGGACCCCGCTTGCTTTCCACCTGCCTGGAGCAAGCTGAGGAGGTGAGGGCTTCCTGCCTGGGGGTAAAGCCCTGCCTTCCTCTGTTTTGCCTTAAGACTCTCTCTTTCAACATTTAAAGGACTGCTCTTGTCAAGACATCTCAGGATTGGTGGCATGAGTCGTTGTTCACCTTCTCAGGACACCAAACACAGATGCTCTCAGCCACCGTCCCTTCAGACTAAAGCGTCTGAATTTCTCTCAGGTACCATCAAGTGGAAGAGAAACTCCCACTGAGCCTTTGACACATGGCTAGAGTGACAGGACCTGAGTTTGTACTCAATGGGTTCATTTTACATAGTTTAAATTGAAATTTTAAAATAAAATTGAGATGTGTAAAATATTTTTTCCATTAAACACAGTTGTTTTGGTAGGACTGCAGTCTATTGCAGCAGCTGAAAACAGCATCTAGACTTAGACGTGTTGTAAGCATAAAATACACACTGGATGTTAAAGATGGTAGAAAAGGGGCACCGAGAGCCTCAGTCGGTTAAGTGTCGGACTCTTGGTTTTGGCTCAGGTCATGATCTCAGGATCCTGAGATCCAACCCCATGCTGGGCTCCGCACTGGGTGTGGAGCCTGCTTGAGATTCTCTTTTGCCCTCTCCCTCTGCCTCTCTCTCTCTCCCTCTAAACAAACAAAAAATGAAAAAGTTTTCAAACAAAAATAAAAACAAAAAACAATGTAGACTATCTCATTAATAGTTTTTAAATATTGATTACATATTAAAGTAATAATATTTAGAGACATTGGGGTAAATAAAATGTATTATTAAATTCTCCTAATGTATTTTTTACCATTTGAATGGGATCACTAGAAAATTTCAAATGATGTATGTGGCTCATGTTATGTTACTGTTGGACAGCACTCCAATGGTTTGTTCTACTCTTCCCATTTACTATTTCCTTTTCTGGAGAAATGTAACATAGCAGCCATGGACAGCTTATCAGCTTTCATGTTTGAGTTTCAGTAACATTTGTTTTTGTTCATTTTAGAAAGAGATAGGTAAGGGGTGCCTGAGTGGCTTAGTCAGGTAGATGTACGACTCTTGATTTCAGCTCAGATTATGATCTCAGTGTTGTGAGATCGAGCCCCGTGTTGGGCTTTGTGCTCAGTGCAGAGTCTGCTTAAGATTCTTTCTCTCCCTCTCTCTCTACCACCCCAAATGGCTTGCATGCTCTTTCTGTCGAAAGAAAGAAAGAAAGAAAGAAAGAAAGAAAGAAAGAAAGACAAAAGTTTGAGACCACTGTCATTTTTGAATAGTATATAATTGATATTAATGGCATATTTTCACTTGATCAGTCTGTGAAATTTAGAAAAGATTTTTGTTTTGTATCCCTATCATTCCTTGTACCCATATCCTTATCCAATCATTCTGCTTTCTTGGATCTGTCATTTTTTTTAAGATTATTTATTTATTTATTTGTCAGAGAGAGAGAGAGCACAAGCGGGGGCAGGGGCAGAGGGAGAGGAAGAAGCAGGCTCCCTGCTGAGCAAGAAGCCCGATGCGGGGCTCCATCCCAGGACCCTGGGACTATGACCTGAGTGGAAGGCAGGTGCTTAACTAACTGAGCCACCCAGGTGCCCCAAATCTGTTGGTTCTTTGTCCCAAGAAATGCACCAGCTAAGCCACAAGTGGACAAGGACATGCGTCAATCATAAGTCTTAGACTTCCCAAGTCCAGTCCTCTGATTCCGAGGCTTAAGTGAAAGTTGTCTTTGCAGGTCATGTGAGTACAAAATGGCTTCCAGGCTCCATGCCCGTGAGGCGTAGCCACAGGCTGCAGAGCTACAGACTCAGACTGAGGTGTGGGGACTTCTGGAGGGTTATAGGAACAGACAAGGATCCTAAGGGACAGTGCAGAATCTAATCACTTGGCTGACATCTGACAGGGAGCCAGTCTCTTTTTATTACACAATACTGATTTCTGGGTCTCTTCCCCATGGATTAGTTGAGTCACTACTAGGTTTCTTTTGGGCTCAGAATGGTATGTTTTCTGAGAGAACAAGTATTCCACTTGGGCCCATAGTTAAGTTTCCCTCCGAGGATGGGAGGAGTAGAGACAGCTTGTCTGCTGCAGCTACTCCAAAGGAACAGGCTCTGATTTGATGAAATTGCCTTCGACACGCAGCTGAGCAGTGTACATAATGCTTGGGAAATTTCTGCCTCACTGGAGAGAAGTAAAAAGTGTCATTTGGTTTAAAAAGAAAATGAGAGAGGGGGGTGAGAGACAGAAGAGAGGGAGGGAGGGGGAGACAGCACGACGGGGGGAGGGAAGGGGAAGGAGAGGGAGAAGGGGAGAGAGAGAGAGAGAAACAGAGAGACAGAGAGACATTTAATTCCCAGAGGCAGCTACCAGAGCATTAACTAAATGTCAATTCAGAACCAGCATTACCCTGGTAAGCCTTTGCACACTTCCCTTCCCAAGAGAGGCACTCTTATGCTGACCTTCAGCCCTGATACTCTCAGAGGCTACAGAGGAAACCTGCTCTCAAGTGTAACACAGGACTCTTGCCCCAGAATGAATGCCTCCCCCTCTCTCTTCACACCTCTCCATGCACCTGTTGCTTCACTGGTGGGATTGCTGCTGTGCTCCCACATGAGCGCTCAGGCTGAAGACCCCTGACCAGCAGGCAGGCTCCAGGTCTCACCAAGAATCTCCCACAGTTTCTTTCTCAGCCCACAGAGTATATAGATGCAGAAACCAGGGCCTGTCCTCCACTAACTTCTTGTTTGTGGGAACATTTATGGAGAGAAAGTTGGCAAAGTGGAAGCGTGAGCTCTATCTCCTATCAGCTGGGGAGGTGGAGCTTGTTGCCCCTTGAATAGGACTGAGTCCTCTCAGTGCTCTGGGATAAACTTGTCTTGCCACTCACATCAGTTCCCAATCCAGCTGAGCCTGGTCAATGTCATCCATCAGCTTCATCAGCTTCTTCTTAAACTGATGTTCAAAGCGCACATCATCCTCAATAACCAGAGTCTTCTCCAGCTCTCGGTCAATCACCTGTAAAGATCATCAGTGGGAAGAGACCTTATGAGAAGTCCAATACCTATTTTTTATTAGGTGAATATATATTAAAAAGTCAAGAGTATAGTAGCACAGTATGTAATAGCTCTTAACTGGAGTCTAAGCAAACGCCATCAGTGGTAGACTGGATAAATAAACTGGGATATATTTTCAGCAGTGAGGATGTACGATCTACAATTAAATGCAATGTTATAGGTGAATCTCCCGAATGTAATCCTGAGAGGCTATATACCTCAATACCCTATGGTTCCATTCATATACACAAAAGTACAAAAGCAGAAAAAACTATTCTGTGCTGTTAGAAGTCAAGATGGTGATTACCCTTGGGGACTGTTCCCTAGAAGGAAATACGGAGCACGTGCTTCTGGGGTGCTGGTAACCTGTTTCTTGAGCTGGGTGCTGGTTGACACGGCTGTATTTTTATTTCATTTGTGAAATTTCGTTGGCCTGTATTTTACGATTTATTTAATTTTGTATGTCTCTATTACATTTCACTTAAAGTTTAAAGAAAAAAAAATAGGCATAGACTGGGTCGTTCAAAGAGGGAAGGCAATCAAGGGGTCCTTCTTTAGGGACTTTCTCTTTTCTTGTGGGAACTGACCCTTAATCAAGAGCCCCACACTCCAATACCTCCCTCCATCTAAGCCATGGGTTCAAGTCCTGGCTTTGCCACTTCTTACCTAGACAAGATATTTACTTATTTTCTCGTGGATAAAATGAACCCATGCGTCCTGACCCACTTCATATGATTTGTGTGACTTCTTGTATGAAATCATTTAATAAATGATGACATGCTTGATACATACAATACAAGGCATTCCTACTAAGGATAAGGATACATCAAAAGGAGTGTGGCCTCCTGAACATGGGTATCTTCCCCTGTTATCATCTCAAGCGGCAACAAGGCTCCCTCTCCCTGTTTGTTGCTGGCCTTGTGTCAGAGGGAGACACGAGGCAACAGAAACTTCCAAGCATACTTCCAGAACAGTTACGGCTTCACTTTCTATCTGGCTGTAATTCGCCTACAAAGTCCCACGTTCCTTCCTCCTTATTACAAAACCTCATATCTAAAACAAGCATTATTTACCTCTTTCCAGACAGAGTAGTGGCTGAGAAAGCAGCCAATTTCACCCCTGGTGAGAGGCCTAGAGGAGTAGGGATCTCGATATCCAGGCAGCATTTCAATATTCAGGGCCTTCAGCTGACTTGTGTTGAGTGCTCTGCAAGACAGAGACCATGTCTGAAAATTAACAAGTTGAGATGTCCCCCCTACAGAAGCCAGAAAGAGAGAGTCCTGGATGTTCCTCAAAGCCCTTCTGCGCATTGAGGAAGACTTCTCAGGTTTCCCATCAGCCCTTAGGAGCCCCTCAGGGTTAACGTGTCATGGCAGCATTACAAGCTTGCCAAAGACAAGAGGGTGTCTTATACTTGGTATATCCCTCACAATTGCCAACGTATTTCTAAGTATTACCAGTTTTTTGACAGCTTTGAAAAAGTATTTTCCTAACGAAGGACAAGTGGCTAATAGCATTAAATACTGGAGGGGATGGGGACAGGAAGAACTGTGTACGTGGGCATGTCTTTCCTTTGGACCTAATTTTTTTTGAAGGTAAGAACAAAACTAGCAGAGACAATCTTGTGAGCAGAAACAGAGAAGTGACTCCCTACATACAAAGTATTCTCAACAAGATTAACAGCTGATTCTCAGAAACCATGGAGGCCAGAAGGCAGTGGGTTGACATATTCAAAGTGCTACCCTGAAAAATACTGTCAACCAAAAATTCTATATCTCGTCAAACTATCCTTCAAAAATAAAGGAGAAATTAAAATATTTTCACATAAACAAAAACTGAGCATTTGTCACTAGCAGATCCACTCTACAAGAAATACCAAAGGGAGTTCTAAGGCCGATATAAAAGGAAATTAGAGAGTGACATAAATCCATATAAAGAAATAAAGAGCATGGGGACATGTGACTGCATAGGTAAATATAAATGACAGTATAAATGTTTTTCATTGATAACTCTTTTTTTCTCTTTAAATTTTCTGATTTAAATTATAGCTGTGTAAAGCACTAATTGTAAGTCTCTGTTAAAGGGCGTGTAATATAGAAAGAAGTAAATTGTTTGACAACAATAGAACAAAGGATGGTGAAAGGAATGAAGCAGTATAGAAGCTAAGCTTCTGTAGACCACTGAAACTCAGTTGGTTCTTTTAATCAAGATATAATTGACATATGACATTATATTAGTTTCAGATATATATTGACTTGATATTTGTATATATTATGAAATGATCACCGCACTAAGTCTAGTTAACATCTGTCACCCCACATAGTTAAAAAAATTTTTTCCCATGATGAGAACTTTTAAGATCTACTCTCTTAGCAACATTCAAATAAGCAACGCAGTGTTGTTAACTACAGTCACCATGCTGTGCGCAACAGCCCCATGACTTATTTATTTTATAACTGGAAGTTTGTATCGACTCACCTCCCTTCATCCATGTTACCCACCTTCCAACACTGCCCCTGGCAATCACCTCTGTTTTCTGTATCTATGAATTTGGGGTTTTTTCTCTTTAGATTCCACTTATAAATGAGACCATCTGGTATTTGTGTTTTTCTGTCTGACCTATTTCACTTCGCATAATGCCCTCAAAAGCCATCTATGTTCTTACAAATGGCAGGACTTCCTTTTTTAATGGATGAATATTTAATTGTATATATTTATATACACCACATCTTTTTTTAAAATTTTTTATTGTTATGTTAATCACCATACATTACATCATTAGTTTTTGATGTAGTGTTCCATGATTCATTGTTTGTGCATAACACCCAGTGCTCCACGCAGAACGTGCCCTCTTTAATACCCATCACCAGGCTAATCCATCCCCCCACCCCCCACCCCTCTAGAACCCTCAGTTTGTTTTTCAGAGTCCATCGTCTCTCATGGTTCGTTTCCCCCTCCGATTTACTCCCCTTCATTCTTCCCCTCCTGCTATCTTCTTCTTCTTTTCTTTTTTCTTAACATATATTGCATTATTTGTTTCAGAGGTACAGATCTGTGACTCAACAGTCTTGCACAATTCACAGCACTCACCATAGCACATACCCTCCCCAATGTCTATCACCCAGACACCCCATCCCTCCCACCCCACCCCCACTCCAGCAACCCTCAGTTTGTTTACTGAGATTAAGAATTCCTCATATCAGCGAGGTCATATGATACATGTCTTTCTCTGATTGACTTATTTCACTCAGCATAACACCTTCTGGTTCCATCCACGTCATTGCAAATGGCAAGATCTCATTCCTTTTGATGGCTGCAACACCACATCTTTTTTATCCATTCATCCACTGATAGGACTCTTAGGTTGGCTATTGTAAATACTGCTGCAATGAACATGGGGGTACATATGTTTTTTTCTTTCTTGAGGTTGTTTTTTCATTTTCTTTGGATAAATCCCCAAAAGTGGAGCTGCTGGATCATAGGGTAGTTCTATTTTTAATTTTTTGAGGAACCTCCATACTGTTTTCCATAGTGGCTGCACCAACTCACATTCCTATCAACAGTATATCAGTGTTCCCCTTTCGTTACATCCTTGTCAACACTTGTTATTTCTCGTCTTTTTGATAATTGCCACTCTGAAAATATGAGGTGATAGCTCACTGTGGTTTGGCTTTGCCTTCCCCTGGTAATTAGTGAGGTTTAGTACCTTTTAATGTGCCTGTCATCTACCCTTTAATGTACCTGTTGTCCAAAGAATGTCTTCGTTAGAAAAATGTCTACTTAGATCTTTTGCCCATTTTTTAAATCAAGTCATTTGGGTTTTGTTGTTGTTTATGCTATTGAGTTGTATGAGTCTTTATATATTGTGGAAATTAGCCCCTTATCAGGTATATGATTTGCAAATATTTTCTCCCATTAGGTAGGTTGCCTTTTCATTTTGTTGATAATTTCTTTTACTATGTAGTCCCACTCGTTTATTTTTGCTTTTGGTGTCAAATCCAAAAAAAAAAAAAAAAAAAAAACCATTGGCACAAATAACGTTGAGGACCTTAACCCCTATGTTTTCTTATAGGAGGTTTGTATTAATATAAACCAGATTGCTATACATCGAAATGGTAATTGTAATCTCCATGGCAGTCACTGAGAAAATAACTAAAAATATATAGTAAAAGAAACAAGAGAATTAAAATGATAGAGTAGAAGGTATCTTTTTAATACAAGAAGGCAATAATGAAGAACAGAGTGACAAAAAAGACGTAAGACATATAGAAAGCAAATGGAGACTGGCAGACCTAAATCCTACCCTATCAGTAATTACACTAAATATGAATGGATTAAACCCTAAAATCAAAGGCAGAGCTTAGCAGAATGAGTTTTTAGGAACATGATTCAACTATGTGCTGTCTACAAGAGACAGACTAGATTCAAAGACACAAATAGGTTTAAAGTGAAAGGATGAAAAAGGATATAACCAGTAACCACAAGAGAGTTGAAGGAGCTATATTAATATTTGACAAAGTAAACTTTTAAGCAAAAGCAATTATTAGAGATAAAGATTAATAAAAAATCAACCCATCAGAAAGACAAAAATTGTAATTATTCATGCACCTTACACCAGAGCAAAAACATGAAGCAAAAACTGAGAAACTGAAAAGAAAGAGACTATTTAACAATAATACTGGGAGACTTGGGCGCCTGGGTGGCTCAGTTGGTTGAGCGACTGCCTTCGGCTCAGGTCATGATCCTAGAGTCCCAGGATCGAGTCCCACATCGGGCTCCCTGCTCAGCGGGGGGTCTGCTTCTCCCTCTGACCCTCTTCCCTCTCGTGCTCTCTGTCTCTCATTCTCTCTCTCAAATAAATAAATAAAATCTTTAAAAATAATAATAATAATACTGGGAGACTTTAATAAGGCACTATAAATAATGGGTAGAACAAGGCAGAAGAACAACAAAGAAACAGAAGACTTGAACAACACCACAAACCAGCTAGACCTGACAGATATCTATAGAACATTACACCCAACAGCAGCAAAATACACATTCTTAAGTTCACATGCAACATTCTCTAAGAAAAACCTTGTGTTAAACCATAAAAACCATATAGATCATAAATTAAGCCTCAGTAATCATATAAGGCATGTTCTCTGACCACAATGGAATTAATTAAAAATCAATAACAATTGGAAATTTGGAAAATTCACAAATATGTGAAATTAAACAACGCACTCCCAAATAGCTAATGGGTCAAAGAAGAAATCACAAAAGAAATGAGCCAATTAGAGATAGAGATGAATGAAAATGAAAACAAGGCATACCAAAACTTACAGGATGCATAGTGTAGTTCTTGGGAAGGTTAGCTATGGTCATAAATGCCTATATTAAAAAAGAATACCTCAAATGAATAATCTGATCTTCCATTTTAAGAAATGAGAAAAAGGAAGGCAAAGTAAACCCAAAGCAAGCAGAAGGAAAAAATTAGGACTAGAGTGGAAATAAGTGAAATAGAGAATAGACAAACGATAGAAAAAATCAACAAAACCAAAAAGTTGGTTCTTTGAAAAGATCAACAAAATTGATAAACCTTTAGCTAAGCTGATCAAGAAGAAAAAAAAAAAAGGTAGACTCAAATTATTTAAAAAAAGGAATGAAAGAGTGGGCAGACTCTTATTGACGTTAGGGAAATATAAAGGATTATAAGATAATACTATGAACAATTGTATGCCAACAACTTAAATAACCTAGAAAAAAACTGATGGATTGTTAGAAAATTACAAATCAATGACTCAAAAAGGAATAGACATTCTGAATACACTTATAACAAGTAAAGCAGTTGAGTTAGTAATAAAATTTCCCACAAAGAAAGACCCATAATCAGTTAGCTTCTTTGGGGAATTTTGCCAAGCATCTAAAGAATTAACACAAATCTTTCACAAACTTTTCCAAAAGACAGAAGAGGTAGGAACATTTCCCAACTCATTCAATGAAGCTAGTATTATCCTGATACCAAAACTAGAAAAAGACATCACAAGAAAACTATAGACCAATATCCTTTATTAATATAGACCCAAAATTCTCAAGAAAATACTAGCAAACAGAATTCAGCAACATATCAAAACGATTATACACCATGATCAAATGGGATTTATTCAGGATTGTCAGACTTGTTTCACATGTGAAAATCAATCAATATAATACAGCGTATCAATAGACAAAAAGATCACATGGCTACACAATCATCTCAATAGGCACAGGAAAAGCATTTGACAAAATCCAACTATATATGGATTGAATGTTTGTATTCATCCCAAGTTCATAAGTTGATGGTATTAGGAGGTAGGGCCCCAAGTCATGATGGCGAAACTCTCATAAATGAGATTAGTGCCTTTATAAAAAGAGACATGGGAGAGGGTGCTTCTTCTCTCTTGGCTGTGTTAAGGGAACAGCAAGAAAATAGCATCTACAAACCATAAAAGGGGCCTCTCACCAGAATCCAACCACACTGGCACCCTGCTCCTGGACTTCTCAGCCTCCAGAACTATGAGAAATAAATGTTTGTTTTTAAGCCACTAGTCTATGGTAATTTGTTATAGCAACCCAAACTGACAAAGACACCAACACCCTTTCATGATAAAAGCACTCCATTAAATAGGAATAAAAGGGAACTTCTTCTATTCAGGAAAGGCCAACTATGAAAACCCACCACACACTAATATCATACTTAATGGTGAAAGATTGAGTGCTTCCCCTAATATCAGGAGCAAGACAGGGATGTCCACACTATTTCTGTTCAACATTTACTTGAGGATCTAACCAGAGAAATTAGGCAAACAAAATAAGTAAATGATATTCAGATTAGAAAAGAGGAAGTAACACTATCTACATTTGCAGATGACATAGTCTTGTATATAAAAAATCCTGAGGAGGAATACACACACACACACACACACACACACACACAAACACACACTGTGTTAGAACTAGTGAGTTCAGCAAGGATGCAGAATATAAGATCAATATGTAAAAATCAATTCTATTTCTATATACTTAGCAGTGAGCAATCTAAAAATGAAATTAGAGAAACAACTTCATTTACCATAACACCAAAAAGAGTAAAATACTTAGGAATAAATTTAACAAAAGAAACACAAGACTTCTACATACTAAAAACTATAAAAAATCATTCAAAGAATTAAAGATCTAAATAAATGGAAAGATATCTCATGATCATGAACCAGAAGACTTCAAGTTATTATGATAGAAATGGTCCCCCCAGCTGATCCACAGATTCAATGCAATTCCAATAAAAATCCCAGCTATCTTTTCTTTGTGTAAAATGACAAGCTGATGCTAAAATTCATATGGAAATGCAAGGGATCTAGAATAGCCTAAACCATCTTGAAAAAGAATAAGAAAGTTAAAGGACTCAGACTTTCTTACATATAAAGGTACAGTCAAATGATAGTGTGGTATTGACATAAGGACTGACATAATACATCAGTGGAATCCAACTGAGAGTCTAGAAATCAACCCTTATATTTATAGTCAATTGATTTTGAGAAGGGTGATGACAGTTTAATGTGAGGGGAGAATAGTCTTTTTAACAAATAGTGCTAAGAGACCCAAACTATGTGCAAAAGAAGGAATCTGAATCCCTATCTCACACCATATAAAATATTAACTCAAAATGGAGCAAAAATTGAATGTGAAGAGATCTCTATGAGGTAGAACTATAAAACTCTTAGAAGAAAAGATAGAAATAAGTTTTTGTGACTTTGGATTTGGCAATGGGTTCTTAGATATAACACCAAAAGTGGAAGCAACAACAAAAATGTATATTGGGCTTCATCAAAATAAAAAACTTGTTTTGCAATGGATGCCATTATGAATTGAAAAGACAACACATAGGAGAAAATATTTGCAAATTTTGTATCTGACAAGAGACTTGTATGAGGAACAAATAAAGAACTCTTACAATTCAATTAGTTTTTCCTGGTCCATGTGGCCTATAAATAAAATTTGGGCTCTTAGGTATTTGAAGCAGTGGTTCCCAAACTCTCATGCACCAAAGAAAATGTTGCCAGATTTAGCAAGTAAAACATGGAGCATCCAGTCAAATTTAAATTTCATATAAACAATGAATAATTTCTTAGTGTAAGCCCATGCAATGTTTGGGATGAATTTAACTGAGTGTCCTATATTTTATGTGGCAACCTTACCTAAGAATCACCTTGAGGCTTCTTAAGTTCAGATTCCCAGGTCCTGATTCAGCAGCCCTGGGCTGGGACTCAGGAAGCTGCTCTCTCTTAACCCTGGAGACCTGACATGGGTGTCCAGGCCACATTTTGAGAAACTCTGATTAAATTCTCTAAAAGTCATAAGAAGCTCCACAATAGCTTCTAGCCATACTCCTTAGAACCATTCACATTCCAAACTAACAAAAAACACGGAACTGTAGGTTTTGCAAAAATCTACGCCTTGAAATAAAGTGTCAAATAAAAGGGTAAAGGAAAGCAAAATAATAAACAACAGCTATAGCAAAACTCTTGAAGGAATTCAACGAAGTTCCCTGTGGGACTTTCCTGCCATATTCTTGGGAAAGGTGATCAGCCCAGGCAGGCTATGGTAAGATCTCACACAACAGGATATACAGATCGTTATGCATTTTTCCTCACTTATTCTCCTCAGGTGGCCCAAGTTTGGCCACTTTGCTCTAAATCAGGCTCTAAATGCAACTCTAAATGCACTCCTTCCAGTATACTTTGGAAAGCTGGAAACCACCACAACCATTGCAAAAACCCCCCGAGAAAGGGGAAAATCACTTCCACTGTGAGCCTTCAGCATAATGAAGGCCGGAGTTCGCTGGATGGTGAGTGGATTTCAGGCCTACTCTACATGGTGAAATTGATTTAAATGCTGCTATCATTCATAAAGCTTTTCCCAAAGTAGGCTGCATGTGGCCGTTATAACAATGGGTCTATCTTCTGATGACTCTAGATTCCTCCCGCTGAGCACTAACCCTCTGTCAGAGAGGGCACCTCCCCACTCCAGCCATATCTGCGAGGATTCAAGAAAAAACCCAACCCACTTTCCATCCACAGCCTCGACGATCTTGACCTCAATCTCTTGCTCGTACAGGGTGCGTAACATCCGGTCCCGCCTGTCCTTTCTGCGCTTGAGGTTGATCATGAAAATCTAACACAGAAAGAAAAAAGGAAAAGAAACACAGATTATTCCAGTCTTACTTTAGGCTGTTTGAAAAGTTAAGTAAATGTAAGGACCAAAGTTTTAATTAGAATAAGGAGTGGAAGAAAATAGGGAAAACCGTGGTGAAGATCTGTTTATATTTCATATCAAGTCAAATGATATTAATTCAAACAGAATGACTTTCAAAACTGAACCATCTGTGGTGACTTCACCCTCTCTTTGTTTCTCTGACGCTTGTTGGTGGACAGGTTTGCCATGTTCTTGAGATAGGAAAGTTCAAAAAAACTACCCTTCAGGAGGCCAAGTGCGAATTAAACCCCAAACAGAAGACTCTGAGGTAGGAGGCAATTGGGCAAGTGTGTTAGATTTGTCAGCCGACCTAAGTCTACAGCCTGACTGTTATTTACTAAGTGTCTGCCTTGGCCCAGTTCCCATGTCTCAGTTTCCTCATCTGTAAAACTGGGTTGATACTGGTCCTATCTCATGGGTTCTAAACATTAGCTATGCTTAAAGTTCATATCCACTCTAATAAATTTCAAGTCATTCAAGGAATGAGAAAAATCTAGTCTTAACACATTCCTTGCATTTCCAAAGGTTCCAAACAGAATTATCAAGGTCTCAATGTTAAGAGCTTCCTGACCAGAATTGTTCAACTCCCCTAGAGATAAGGGAATTTCTCTGAAAGAAGTAAAGAGAAGGGACCCTACCTTTGGAGGCAGCCCTTTGATGGAAGGGAGAAATGGAAAAGCATCATTTCCACATCATACTAGTCCATGAAGTCCCCAAGAATATGCATCCAGATTCCTGCCCAAGGGGGTTGGGTCCATCTTTAGTCCCTCATCTTAGCCCCTACATTCCTGATGGCTGCCCTAAACACATACATATCATGAAGCCATGGCAGGGAGTTATGGAGAGTGAGACAGTGCTGACAACTCTCAGATTTAAGGAGCCACAGAAATACCTCAAGACTCATGAACACTGTTACAGGTAAATATGTGTATTCCCAAGGTCCTTTTGCTACAAGCAGTAACAAACTCGCTCTGAACATTAAATTAGTCCTCTAAGGTACGAGACTTCAGCTGCCAGCAAGAAATACTGATGACACGTAGCATGGAAAAGGAGAAACCCATAGGAATAAGTTGAATGACATTGGCTTCATCCTGACTTAACCACCAGACGACTTTGAGGAAGACAATGAATGCTTCAGGGTCCAGTTCGCTTGTTCATTAAAGGGGGCGTTGAACAACTTCATCTCGCAAGTACAACACAGATTAAAATGCCTATGGCATGTGGTTTAGATAAAGCTTGCTTTATGCCATGCCTAGAATAAAGAAGAAACTATGTCTTGTAACCAGCCTGGCGTTCAGACTTTACTGGAGATGAAGCTTTGGTTCACATTGTCATTCTGAATGTAATCGTCACTATGTTCTATGTTTTACTGGATCAAAAGCTACACTAAAATTTCAACCCTTCCTTCCAAAATATTCTCACTTCCATCCATGTGTAAAGCTTTGAGCAAAGAAAATGATGGGAAAACAAGATGTCCTCTTGAAAGAAATTATCCACCTAATTTAGGGCAAAGTGAATACGGTGCATCATGATTTCATTACTTCTCTTGATTACCTGAGTATTTTTTTTTAAACATAATTTCTGTGGTGACTGTATTTGCCTTGTTGCTTGGGACTTCATAACTTAATGGGTTGTGTTCTTTTACATTTCACATTCTTCCTGTTTAGGATCACAGTGTGATGGGCCATGTTTCATCCCACAATTTTAAAAGATATGGAAAGGAAGGGGCATTTCCTCCTGTGTGTACATGGAGCTGCCCGAGGTCACTCCAGGAGAACAAAAACAAACCCAAACAAACCCCTCCCCCCAAATGAACAGAAATACAACAAAAAGTCCCCTCAAACCAGAGACCTCTAGTCTGGGAAGACTTTTGTAAATAATCATTCAGTCCCAGCTTCTGCCAGGACAAGTGCAGTGAAAATTGTAACCATGAAGGAAAAACACAGACGGCTTGCTCGTACTTAGTGAATAGTAAACAGAGAAAGAGCCACAGAGCCAAATGCAACCCAGACACTACCAACAAGGTCATGGAGTTCTGGGAGAACGAGAAAGGCCCGTTAAAATCCCTTTTTCCACCATCTTATCTCTGTTCTAGAGCCCAGGGTAATTATTTCCTGCACCTGTATCACGACCTAGAGTTGGCATTTTCCAAAAGACTTCTAAGGTGACCCAGTCCTTACACACCCATCCAAATGGAAGACCAGAGCTAGAAGATCCTGGTTTTGCCCCATTTGATTTCCTTCGGCTTGGTCCCCATAGGAATGTGTTTAACCAGAAAAATGAATCTATGTGAAGACACTTGTGTTCTTTCACCTGGAGAACTGAAGGCTGATGAGGGTTGCAGGGAAGGACAGCACTAGTAAGATGTGGAAGTCGGGACAGTGCGTGGTGTGGACCAAACTTTTCCGCAGCCGCAGTTGTTTTTAAAAATTATTTGCACTTTATTCTAATTCCTCTCTTCCACATTAAAATCCTCTCTTCTCATTCTGCCCTCTGTGGAAACAGCATCATAGCTGCTAACTCTTTCTATTTAGTATTCATGAAATACTCTTTCCAATTCCTGAAGCCCAGATTCACATCAATTTTTTAAAAGAAATACCAATGCCCATCCCAGGAGCTTTTAGATGGCTATACCTGGGGACATGTGTGACCCAGCACAGAATGATAAGCAAGGCTTTTTCTTTCACTGGAGCGATGGCAAGAGCACACAGCGCAAAACCTGGCCTGTAACATACCCAGAATCCATGGAAAAGTTCTATCTCAGTGTGTGGATTCCTGAGGCACCATCCTACCCTTTAGATCACCAGAGTCTTGAGTACTGATCAGCAGCTACACAACATAAGGGACCCGCAAAGGGTTCAGTGACTTGGAGTCACACTTCGGCCACTCCCAAGTAGCTGTTGTGTATATTACCAAGAGAGGTATTTCTTTATATTCTTGCTTCCTTCTTCATGCAATCAAAACTTTATATTAAATATGGCCCTTGGAGCACTATTATGAAGTTCTTGTCCACTGAAAGGCAGACTTTTACAACAGGTTTCCTTTTTTCTCTTTTTCTTTTTCGTCTCAACCCTGCCCTCAGCCTTTTTCCATGGAAGAACAGCACAGAGAAAAGAAAGCACAGACTGTTCCAGAATGGTTTCTATCCACTCAGAATAAAGTTAAGGTCCTCTAATGCTTAAAACATTATCTTCTTTACCCTTGAATCTTTATAGGAAGGTTTACAAAATATAGCAGCATCTGCTCCTAGAAAACACAAAATTCACTCATGATTAAATACTAACTTCTTTCTAACCCAATGATTAATTTGTTTTTACCTTTTACCTTTTAAAAAATTATTTATTTGAATATAGTTGACACACAATATCGCGTTAGTTTCAGGTACATGTGATTCTCATTTTTTTATCCTTTATTTTTATTTCTATTTTTTTAAGTAGGCTCCACACCCAACATGAGGCTTGAACTCACGACCCCGAGTCCAAGAGTCGCATGCTCCACTGACTGAGCCGGCCAGGCACCCCAAATGCTCCTTTTTTAAGATAAGAAAGCTGAGACATGACACAAATTGAGTTGTTTTCCCAAGACCTCGGTGCCTTTCAGCAGCCAAGCCAGTTTTGCTGACTGTCCGATGTAAGATCAGGCTCACACTCCAATATAAACACGTAAGCATGCCACGTACGTGCCCGTGTGTGCACGTGCACACACAGGCACCTTTCCTACCTCATCAAATCCCATCTTGTCTGGATATTTAGGGACAACTGAAACAAACTGGGAGGGTTCCACTGGAGGACCGTCAACTGGAAGACACAAGAAACACACAGAGTGCTTTGTTAGTGAAAGGCTCAGGGAACAGAATTCCATCCACACACCTGATGTCTAGGAACACAGTCTGGATGTCTGGGGCAGGGGATAACTGCTCAGCAGTTCTCCAGGACTGAGCGGATACACAAGAACCCTGATGGCCAGGGCTTCCAGAATGCTTGTTCATACGCAGACTGCAATATTCACTCCATTTCCCTTAAGACTTATTTTCAGAGGAGATGAGTCAGTCTAGGATGCCGGTTAAGAGTGAAGGCTCTGGAGTCAGATGATCTGGGTCCAAACCTTGGTCTGGGAAGGTCTGGAAGAGTTAAGTGACCTCTCCAAGCCCGTCTTTTCATGTGTAAAATCAGGATAATAAAAGTGTATCTCTTGGGGGTGTTGTGAAATTTAAATGAGACCTGCATGCAAAGCACTCACCACCAGTAAATTGACATAGTAAAAACTCAGTAACTTTTAAGCTATTACTTACTGTGGCTCATAATGAAAGACCTCAGAAGTAGGCCAGACTTCTTCTAAATAATGCTTTCTCTGTATATTTTAAAGGGGACTAGTCTGGGACTATTTTTATCCCATTCAGGCAGGTTTAGCTACAGGTATGCAAAGGTCCTTTATTTTAACAGGAACTTGCTTTTAAGGGCCAGTCCACATCCCAAAACTTGGTACAGGGCTAACAGGTAAATTTCCAGATGGGAGGCACACTGCATCTTAAGTAATAAAAGTTTCATTTATTTCATACTCGAAAAAAAAGTTTTCTTTACAAACTATACATTTGAAAGGTCGGAAGTAATGCTGAGTGGAGAATCTGGAAAGGTCTTGAAGATTTTTGGAATTGCAAATCCAAAGTACTCATTTGGTTTTCCTTAAAGGGGTAACACAAAGAAAACACAGTGAGAGCTGGAAACTTGGGTGGTTTGAGGAACTGTTGGTGGTGGCCATCACCACTATTCAGCATTACCCATCTCCTCCAGTCCAGGCAGATGAGAGGAATCACTTCCTCACCCTTGAAGTTGGTCATGGCCTTGTGAACTGCTACTTCTCAGCTCTCCAAGCCCTCCTTCCATTCCCACCCTTGCCCAACACAACGGTCACAGCAGATGTTGATAATGGAGAAGCCGCATATTTGAAGCAGCCTAGAATGATGTGCCAATATTGGGAAGACAGCTGCCCAGAAGGACGCCGGGACCACTGCAGACTTTGAATTGCAAGAAATATGCCATTGCTGTAGGAAGCCAGCTAGATTTTCTCACTATTTGACATCCCAGCATAACCTCTTCATCCTTCTGACTGAGATACTGTCCAAAGAGTATTATCTGTTTAACTTACCCTTCCCTGGGATATTAAAGAGAAACCATGACATCCAGTTTCACTTATGATCGAATGATGTGAAGTTCTAGAAGGTAGTGAGACTGGTTTCCTAAGCCAAACACAAGAGTTGGTCTCATTCCTTCAAGCCTGACCCCTATGGTCACATTTCTGTGAATACACAGTGCATGTGTTTCTGTTTCCATTAGAAGCCCAGAATATTTTGTTCCTTTCTGCTCCACCCTCACAGAGCTCCACCCCACTCCTCATTAATTTTTTTTTTAAATCAACAAATATTGACGGAAGAGCCACCAGGTACAGAGTTAGGCTTTTGAGAGAAAGAAACTTAGCATACAAACTCCTTTTTGTTCATAATGTTGTTTGAGGAGCTGTCTGGCTCTCCCTCCTTGGGTCTTGGAGTTGGGAGGGGGTTATATTTTGAGTTCCACTTTTTCACACTGTTGGTCTCTGTTTGGCACTCACATGGCCTGCGTGGCTTTAACATTTCAGCCAAAGAGACTGCTTTTAGCCATTTTGCTTCCATCAAACATGGGCAGTCATTGCAATCACAGGACAAGTGTCCCCCACAAGCCATAAGTAGCTGGCTTCTGAAAGCCACCATTGAGCAAAAATATGAGAAATATGTCTGGGTTTTGTCCCCAAGGACAGAGCAAAGCCACTGGGAAAGACAGGGAATGATACAAGTTAGACCTAAGAAATTTACTGTGCAAGGAGAAGGGATGTGTCTTTGCTTCATCAGAGTTGAAGGTCAGGTATATCCCAGCTTTGGTTGGGGTCATTTCTGACTCCATCGTTCATAATTTATCAGTCCCTCATTGAATCCCTCCCTAGACATAGCCCCTCACTGTGCCACACCAATTGAGACAATATGTTTTACTGGCTACTGGATAGTTTCAAGACCTAGGAATAATAATCACAACTACTATGATAGAGATCTTATTATCCACTGAACTCTGGGCTACACTCTTGACATATATAATCACAGTTATTTAATTTTCACGACATGTACCATGGGATAAGTATGAATGTCCCCATTTTTACAGATAAAGAAACAAAGGCTTCAACAACTTGCCCAAGGTCACAGAGCTGACAGAGCTGGTACTTGAACCTAAGTCTGACTCCTGAACCCTTTACCCCCACTCGGCCTGCCCCCAAAGCTGGTCCTTGGTAGCCATTGGCATCAAGTTGGTCTTGGCAACTGGGCTGAATTCACAGAAGCTCAGTTAGCTAAGTCATTGCTCCTGGGTGACCATCACTTGTTGCTTTATCTGTAGTCTACACTGGAGCACACACTATCCAGCAGTGCACAATGTGCCAGCTCAGTCATGCCCCCCAAAATATTTGAGAGATCATGCTTGCACCAAATCCTAACTAAATCGTAATCATTTAATCATAATCCTGAGGTTGTCCTGAACTCCTTGGATTGCTGTAGCCACCACCCTAGCTCAGATCCTCACTCACCATGATTGGGCAGGGTTTTTTTTTTTTAATTTTATTAATTAATTAATTAATTTAAGAGAGAGAGGGCATGAGCTGGTGGGGAGGGGCAGAGGGAGAGGGAGAGAGAATCTTTTTTTTTTCAATTTTTGCCTTTTTTTAAATAATTTTTTTATAATTTTTTATTGTTATGTTAATCACCATACATTACATCATTAGTTTTTGATGTAGTGTTCCATGATTCACTGTTTGTGCAGGGAGAGAGAATCTTAAGCAGGCTCCACATTCAGCATGGAGCCCGATGCTGGGCTCAATCTCATGACCCTGAGATCATGACCTGAGCCAAAATCAAGAGTCGGACGCTTAACCGACTGAGCCACCCAGGCGCCCCCATGCTTAGGCTGTTTTAATATTTTTCAAACTCTCATGCACTTGGTCTTGCTTCATTCTAACTCGTTATGCACACTATTGTCAAAATAATCTTCTTCAAGCACAGTGCTGGTCTTGACCACAACAGTCACACTCAACACTTTGCAATTTAAATGCTTTCATATTCATGACATCATTTGTCTTCATTTATCTTTTGGTTGTTTTTATAGATGAAGAAATTGAGACCTACCCAGATGTAGACTTGCCCAAGGTCAAATAGGGAGTAATTGGTGCCAAGATCCAATAGTGAGTGATTGGTAATGTTATTGGACCTTCCGACTTCATGTCCAATAATCTTAATAATCTTTACATGACATTCTATGGCTCCAGAATGTTGTTACCAAGAAGGGCACATGAGATCTCCCATCACCTCATGCCCTGACTTGCAAGACCAATCCCCTCATGCCTTTTATATAACCCATTGACTTCTTTCACCTTGACAAGGTCTAGCCTCCTGTCATTCATCCCCCAATTTTCTGTACGGCTCCTAACATATGAAGTGAGTAAATACATGTAGAGTGATGGGCAGAGTGCTGCCTGTGCACCTTAACTGGTGCTACACCCCTTCTCCCACCCCACCCCAGCTCCTCACTCTGCTCTCTGAAACTCCAGTCTGTAATTCATCAACTCTTTGACAGTTTTAGTCTCTTACTTTCTCTGAATGTCTCTTCACCTTTGTATTTTAACTAAAATTTGGCTTTCCTTGGAGGACACTGCTTCTCTTTCACCCGTGAGGGTAGAAGCTGATTTTTCTTTCTCCTCCAATTCACTCCCAAACTGTTTCCCTTTCATCCCTCAAAACCCCCAGCTTCTTTGAAGTGTATGTTAGCACCCTCTGCCCCCTAGTCATGCCCCCCTCAGCCACTGATGATGACAGCCTTTGGCTCATAATCTCGTTGTTCCTGCCATCATTCTTAAAACTTTAGCATCCGCACGGTGATCCACCCGACAACGGGGCTTCTAGGTCCTGTACTAACAATCATTCTTTCAGTGGCCCACTACCATGTCTGCCTCCATCACCTCTTCCATGTCCTCGTGTCCATCGGTACCGAACCTAGATTTCTTGGGCTAGCACCCTAACCACCCCCTTGTAAAGCCTCTTGATCTGCTTCCACTGATCTTGCTTGGTAAAATCCCAAACCTGCTTAAACTTGATTATCCACTTAGCCCCAAGAATACTGCAAGAGAAATTCACACAATTGTGTTGACTGAATCACTTTAAAATTACAACCACAGATGTCACATTGGCACTCGACACTGCCAAACGATGCAGTTATGCTTCCATAGTAAATTTACTTTCCCACTCTCCGAGCAATCTGTTTTATGCCTTGTCCTCTTCCCTGACACCTCCAGCATCTCTCTCAAGCTGATGGACTACACACCTCATAAAAAAAAAAAAAAAAGTCAAAGTAGACCTGCCTTTTCCTTCCACCTCAAGTCCACAAACCCAGCTGCATCGGTACCCACGCATTCTGCATTCCCATCTGCTAGGGGGAAGAAGCCTCTCTGTTCCCACCTCGGACAACTTCTCCAATACTGTCTTCGATTACAACGCCACTTGTTTTCTCAAGGACTTCAGCCTCACAACTGCCTCCTTCTCTTCTACATCATCTGGGTCTCTTCATATACTGAATCTTTCTTGTTAGTGTATGAAAATGCTAAAATCTTGTTAGTAGATGAAAATGCTAAAAAACAACACCACACAACTTCTCCTTTGATCCCTCATTCCTTTTCAGCCACCATCCTATTTCTCTATCCCCATCGCAACAAGCTTCCACTTTCTCAT